ATTCCTAATATATTCACAGATGTATTTAAAAGTCTCAAACCATAATATTCTTCCTATACAAACAGTTATTCACTATTTGGTAGAGCAAGGTCAACTGTCAAATTTGACACATTTTTCGATGATCTCACTGAGTAGCGTGCATTGTCTCTCTTTGGATCTCAATATTTTCCCGCTAGATGGCCAAGACCTAGTGTTTTGGCATTAGTTTGACGCGCAAATGTATGACGTCACCATTTCGACCATCAATGAACGCATGGAACTAAAACAAAGCTTAATATAAAGGAAAAACTAGAGAGGTGACGGAATTACCCACGATGACGGAATATACCTCGTTTACCCTATGCAAAAGACAAATTTTAGGAAAGTGTCATTGTTTGCAGATGGGGGGCACCGCCCCCCAATGGGGTAACTTTGACCACCTAATGGCAGCCGTGACGGGGTAACATTGACCGGCTTGGAAATTAAGTTAAAATTACCATAGGTACCTATATAACATATTTTATGTTTGATACTCCTATTAATGTTTTTTTCTTTATGTTTCAGACTCTACAGAGTCTTATATACGATAATTTTAACTTAATTTCCAAACCGGTCAATGTTACCCTGTCACAGCTGCCATTAGGTGGTCACATTTCGCCCATTGCCCCCCATTTGCAAACTATGACACTTTCCTAAAATTTGTCTTTTGCATATGTAACTAGAAGAGTTCTACTAGTACTACAATGCACCACAACCTGGAGTTATTTTACCAAAAAATAAAATTGATTTTACCACCCGGTCAAAGAAACCCCAAGAGCTGGGGTAACAAAGACCATCACTTTTTTTGAAACTACATCAAAACTATGTGGGTCAGGAGCCAGCAATTTATGGTGAGTAAAGCTAGAGTATAGACCTGTATTTTGCATGTTTTAATTTAATTTTAACTTATCTAGTAAAAAAATGGCATCATTATGAAAAAAAATTGTCAAAATTACCCCATTTTACGGTATTTCAAATCGTGCAGCCTAAATTGTTAACTTAGTATGTTTACAATTAGACAAGACTCCATCAGGACCATCAATAATCAAGAATATATTCAAGATAAGAGGTACCATCAAAATTCAAAAGGAGTAGCCTAGGGTAAATGCGTTATATTCTGACATCGTGGGTAATTCTGAAACCTCTCTAGTTTTTCCTTTATATTAAGCTTTGTCTTAGTTCCACGCATTTGTTGATGGTTGAAATAGTAATGTCATACCTTTGTGCACCAAACTATTGCCAAAACACTAGGTCTGGGCCATCTGGCGGGAAAATGTTGAGATCCAAAGAGAGACAGTGCATGCCACCCACTGGCACCCAGTGAGATCATCAAAAAATGTGTCAAAGTTGATAGTTGACCTTGCTCTACCAAATAGTGATAAACTGTTTGTATAGAAAGAATATTATGGTTTGAGACTTTTAAATACATCTGTGAATATATTAGGAATCCTTTAAGTATACTTGTATTTGCCAATTTCAAGTGGTAAATAAATTAATAGATGATTAAGATAAGAAACGGATTTAGACACATAAAAACTAATTCTGACACATCTTGATTTGGACACACAGCTTGTTCCAAGCTGTGTGCAAAAATTAAAATTTTCTTAATTAAAAGCTTAATAGCTGTTAATTAAAATCCTAAATAAGTAGTGTTCAATATTCAATAGTGTTCTAATTCAAAGCTGTGTCATATTCCAATACAGCTCACACAGCAATCAAAATTCGAACACAAGGATGTCGGAATTACGTATTTGTAGAGTTTGAGCGCGGCTGGAATTTGTCTCACAACATGCCAAATTTAGTCACACACAGCGTTGGAATAAAGGGATTGGGTTGGTTTGCATTCTAAAGGCTTTTAAATAAATATGGCAACACTTTGTGATGTTTCATCGTTGTTGGCGCGTAGTGCGGTGTTTTGAGAGTCACGTAAAGCAAACAGAACTCGAGTAACGCATACGGTTATTTTTTTTTAGTTTTTCATTTCTCGATGCGTCCTTAATGTGTCGGAATATACCACGTTTACCCTAATAGGGTAAACGCACCATATTCCAACACCTTAAGGACGTAGCAAGAAGTGAATGGCTAGGTATAGGGTAAACACACCATATTCCGACATCATGGGTAATTCCGATACTTCTCATCTTTTTCCTTTATATTAAGATAGGCCTAAGAAGCTTTGTCTTAGTTGCATGCATGCATAGCCTACCTAGACAGTTGAAATAGTGATGTCATACTATTGCGCACCAGATTTCTGCAAAACACTAGGTCTGGTGGGAAAATGTTAAGATCCTCAGAGCAAAAGTCCACATCACCCAGTGAAAACATCGAAAAACGTGTCAAAGTTGATAGTTGACCTTGCTCTATCAAATAGTGATAAACTGTTTGTGTAGAAATAATATTATGGTTTGAGAATTTTAAATAAGTCTGTGAATATATTAGGAATCCTTTAAGTGTACTTGTATTTGCTGATTTTAAGTGGTACTCCAATGTTTGGACCCCATTTGACAGTAATTGATCTAGAGAGAATTTCCTGGCTCCAAAAATGGCAGGAAATTTCTAGTTTCTGCTCAAAAGGTTGAAACATTTCATGCCGCATGAAATGTATATAACTACTATCATACCATGAGAACTTGATATGGCAGACTGCCATGGTATCAATTTAGAATAGAATTCTTCTCATATTTATAATATTTTCCTAAAATAAAAATCTGCTTAATTTTTCAGACCCTAAATATTTATATTTTGGAATATCTGGAGTAAATTTTCTAAAATTGCATATAAAAACTATAGTCTTGTAGTTAAATTTTTGAAAAATCACAGCTGAAAATGGGCTGTTTTTCCTATTTTTCTCTGAAGAAATTGGGATAACGGCTGAAGGCCGTTTGGATGATTGGATATTGAATGATAAGAAATTAACCCTTTACGCCCTGGCGTGATGAATTCGTCACACAGAAAAAAACCTCGGTTTTCCAACAATTTCACGTTTTCTGTCATTTTTTCGAAAAATTCACAAGAATAAAAAAAGTCTTGGATTTATTTTTTACATATGTGTACCAAGTTTCAAAGTTATCTGTTGGTAAGTAACCGAAATAAAATTTCCAATTTCCAATGGCAATGTCCAATTTCTTATGGAAATTCTATTTCGGTTAATTACTGACAGATAACTTTGAAACTTGGTACACATATGTAAAAGATAAATCTAAGACTTTTTTGTTCGTGGGAATTTTTCCAAAAAAGTGGAAGAAAACGTGAAATTCTTAGAAAACTGACAAAAAGGGGGTACTGTAGAAATCTATCACCTCCTATGATTTTGAGCTACAACATTGAGACGCATATCATTCGATGCGTAAGGACCATATCTATCAATTGGTACTTGCTGTTTTTCAAAATTCTAATTTTTGTGGGTGGAGTGGGCATTTTTCGAAAAAAATTGGTTCTCCCCCCCCCCTTTTGAATTTCCCCTCCCCTTTTTTCAAAATATTTTCAAAACTATAACGAAAATGAAAAAAAAAGCTTCGACCAATCTCTAGATCTTTTATTTGCGAATCGAACGGTATATTACTCATTGCTGTAGCTTAAAAACTCTGGGAGGAGATAGGTTTGCAGTGACAATAAGTGTAAATGTTCAGTAGGGCGCGACAAAGTCCCGAGCCCCTCAAAATAGGCATTCAAGGTGACATAGATGCAAGACTAGACATTACTGGAGCCGAAATTCAGTCAAGGATGGTGGGAACAACTGCATGAGCACCATCCCACACGACAGCAGCCGGGTAACTAAAGAGCAGCGTCTTCAGGTTGTCTATTTATGTGCCCGACCAGTAATTTTTGCCCATATTAAATGTTAAAGAACTCGCCCACCCATAACCCTTTCACGAACTGTCGTCAAGGCATAAATCAACATACAGAGACGATTTTGGTACCGTTGGATAGGTCAGAATGTCAGCTTTGAAGTGAGACTTAAAACCGAAAAAGTGAATTTTACGATTTTCATCCCAGAAATTCAGGGCGTAAAGGGTTAAGAATAGGTGAAATTGGCCAGATTCACTAGTGTTCTTATTCATGGGTGGTTATTGTCCAATTTTCCACTTATGCACCCGAGTCGTGACTTGATATGAACATAGCTAGTATGTAGAAATACATTTCACTATTGCAAAAATATTGAGTATCATTTTCTGCTTTGTAGAAATGTATATATTTACAAGTTGAAGCATAAATATCAAGAAATTTTAATTTAAAATCTTCAATTTCTATTCAATAGTTATGGTACTTGTCTCAATATTTCCATTATATTGTTCATAATATTATCATGCAAACTAAAAGATGGAGAATGAAGCTTGAAATATGTATATTATGGGTACTATTCCAGATCATAAGTATTTGACACTGGTTCATAAACTGCATTAAATCCTTTCATACAGTTGTACTTTATATATATATTTCAGGATAAAAATGAAACACACAATAACAGCAATGCTGAAAAGACTGCTCGTGCAAGTTTGAAATCTTCTGTGCTACGTTCAATTGACAATCATACAGTTGTTGTGGTTGATGCTTCCAACTACATCAAAGGTTTCAGGTAATTGCAGTGAATCATATTTATAAAATTTAATGTCTGTACTGATTTCTTATAACATCTGAGTCTGAACAAGACTGTTACAGCCAAAATGCTGAATTCAGCAGGTTGCATCCGCCTTGCTGTTAAAGACCTCAAATGTAAATTTTGCTTTATCTAATTTATATTTTGTGAAGTACGGTAACTCTTTACTGTTGATTTTATTGGAATTGTGTTCTGTTTTATTTTTTACATTTATCTCGGAATAAAGTCTTAAGAAGTGAATAAAATTTTATAGGAAATAGGTGATGAATGCCTGTTAAAATGGAAAAAAAAGATAGAGAATTCAAGATATTTATGTCTCACTTGAATATACTCAATGAATATTTGTCTCAATGAATATACTTGGAAACTACTTCATGCCAATGTGGGTCAGTATTATCTCCATAAAACATTATCCTGGTTTTACCAACTAGATATCTTTCTACATTTTCCTGCTAATATTTTCATGGAGGTATGAGCTGTACTGCGTGAGCAAGCAGCATAGCACCGCCCACTGTGTTGTGCAGTGCATGGTATCACCAGAGCAAGCCTGGCAGTGGAACCTGACCCAAGCTTCTGCTCAGCAGTATGACAAAGAAACATTTGATGCACTCGTCTTCAGATATGAAGCTCCTGACAGCAGAAATAGGTAAAATGAAATTTTAAATCTGCACAATACAATTTGTTGCAGTAGAAATCTTACTCTGAAATGTTTTCAACAGTAAGACACTGTTATGTTTATTTTGTTGATGAAATGATTACTCCTTACTCAATTCTTGCAAATGAATTTGTTGTCAACATATGATCAAAAAAGAAATTCTATATTTTGAGTCTTAAATAATGACCATTGAAATGTCTAGAGCAGATGGGATTCTCCATTGTTTGCTGCACGGCCTGATCAAGAGTTTGACTGGAATGGTCTGAAGGAGGCGCTGTTCAGTGGCCGGGCTGTCAAACCGCACCAAGCCACTCAGCTGCAACCTCTTACTGACAGTAACTTCCTCCATTGTCTGGACCGCCTCACCCAAGTTTGTTGCTTGCTGCAAATGAGACATAAATTAAATGCATTGACACTTTTCACAAACCTGTCAATTGATTCATATTTTTCGATTTATTTAGGTACATATATGGACACAATTGTTGAATTGTTGATAAGCTGTAATAATTACTACAATATTTTGCCTAATTCTTTGTATAGTTAATTTGAACATTGTGAAAAATTTCAGTTATTTTTTCCAGCAATAGAACATAATCTCTAGCTACAGCTAAAGAACGATATCACTAATTGCAAAGTATGATTACGTTCGTGCATATGAGCAGGAGGTGGTGGCTTCTATAGTGGACGTACAAAAGACCGAAGCGATCGGAGAGATCGTTGTACCGCGCTCCCGCCATCGTTTTATTGCTTGTAGGAAGGTGAGTGGAGGTTACATAGGTAGCACATTAAGGTAAAGCTTAAGATGTTGTATCCTAAATTTAATTACACAAGAAGTTTTTTATAGTGATTGCAAGATGGCATTAAAGTTAATTTGTTTTTCATTAATATTCAGTCAATCTTATAACGCATGGGTGAATGTTAATTAATGGACGCAAGAGATTTGAACAGCAATTTTTAGTTAATGTGCATTTATGTATAATGCACGAGCCCTATCCTCCTGTTACAGGTACTCTAAAAAAGCATTCTATTTATTGTTCTGTATGTTGTTCCCAACCCTATGACACATCAAAAATACCTAATCTCTACGAGGCAAGTCCTTTTGTATTTTTGTCCAAGAACTATTCTTTTTAACCACGAAGACACAGTTTAGTGGCTTGTTTTTGTATCAGTTCTTCACGATCGAAACGTTGCCGTGTCCGGACGCATTTTTTCTGCCATTGAAAAAAAAGAAAGGCTTAAGCGCTGCAAACTTTCATTGTATACTTTGATACCAGAAAAATTTAAATTTGTTCAATGAGTGTTCAAATGTTCTCAAATGGCCAGATTCATCTTTTTTTTTACTATGACCACTCGTAAAAATACATTACCTGGAATATCATAGACGAGGTTGGACTAATATTTTCCCTATCTTCACCACAGGTAAGCTTGGCCGAGCTGAGCAGAGCTCGGCGGCAGTTTATTGCATACAGCAAAACTCGCTCTATGAGCAGTGAAGAGGAAATAATTTCTTCTTTTGTGAGTTATCTCAACACAATAATCCAATAAATATTTGGTGAAAATTCATCTTTATCACCTTCCCCCAAGGAAAAATCGAGTTTGAAATTTAACATTAGGTTGACGTCCTCAATAAACATCAGATTAGCGCGAGCCTCGAATTATTAGGCACCGACTGAAAGGTAGGCATCTAAGCAATTTCACTAATTGAATAAATCATTATCGATTTTTTTTTTTCAAGTGTTTTTAAGAGAAAGACATCGTACAAAACTCGTATAAAATGTTGCGGAAAACATTCAAAAAGGTGTTGCGATCCATGTTCAAGGTTCCAATGATCATAGACTTGATTTGCCACGTTTAAGTTCTTGAAAACATATCAGTGTCGAATAAAAGTGGCAGAAGTTTAGGAATCGTTTTCTGTTCCGTAAAAAAACGTTGGGATAAGTGAGTAGAGGCTCGGTAATGACTATTTATTTGGCTGAAAAGCTTCAGGGGATGCATACACACTTAGAGAGCGCGGGAGTGCGGGTACGTCCACAGAGAACGCTACTTTTAGCGGCATCTCCCTACAGCACCCAGTTCAGATTTCATGTCCGCGAATGCCTTAAAAAATAATATTTACGAGAAGTATCTACGGTCCTACCTATCCACCAGTGATGAACTGTATTTTACAGCTCTAGCCAAGAAAACTAAGAAATGTTAATCTCGAAATATAATTCAAATGTGAGCGGCATTATCAAGTGAAATTGCAACTAAATACAAAATTTATTTCAAGTTTTTTTTTAATCCTATAAAAATGTCAATAATAAATATACAGCGTCATCAAATAGACTTTCACCATAAATGCATAGTACATGGATCCGTAGTCGCCGACCTATTCCGCGAGACTTATGATCTCAATAATTTAATTGATTCCTTAAGGACATATGACAACAGTCAAGTGAGTGAAATGCCCAGCATCTTTGCATTAGCAAACATAACTCGTACACAATTCATTTGAGATACTGTGAGTGTCTAAACCAGTACGCACAGTTGAGCTTCTGTGCTAATGGTATCTCGAACAGGGCAAATAACAGGTGAAACGTTTAGTGCCTTCAGACAGAGCCCGCATTTATAGCTGATCTGCTCAGAAAACAACGATTGAGTTGGAGTCTAGGGCAGTAAATTTTCATTTCCTTAATGACATGATTATATTTCGGGAATCTGCCAAGATGACAACTGCTGAGTTGGAGACGAGGGCAGTAAATCCCCCCTTCTTCAATCACATATTCATCTTCTCCCACAGTCTAAGAGAAAGAGTTTTCGAGTCGCGTACGCTTTTAAGGCTGAGAAGACGACTGTGGCGTCTGCTGCTGAGGTGGATTCTGTGTAGTTTGTTGTTGCTGTGGTAAAGTTTGAAGAGAAAGCTGCTGAGGCTGCACTGTTATTGGCTGAGAGATCCGTACGCTGGTTGGTGCGGAGGAGGCGCCACGCCCAGGCACAGTTACCGTTTGGCCTTGCTGGAGGGCTGCTGACACCTGAGCATATTCCAGTGATGTCCGGATAGTGAGTAAGGCAGCTATCAATTAGGTGTATTCAATAATACAATCTGTTGCTTTTCGAGCAAAAAGATTATAACCTATTCTGCAATATGGCCAGTTAAAATTACATAAATTAAGTATCCTCGTAATCATTATCCAAATCATTTCAGTTTCAGTCATTTAAGTCAGATCGAGAGACGAGAAAAGATTCTACCCAGAATGATATACCAGCAGGTATTATGATAAACATCTGATGTTAAAAACTAGGAATTACCAGAGTGTTATTAGAGAAAATAAATAAGATTTGAGGGTACAGAGCGGCAATACAAGTTTTTTTTTCAATAACTATGAAGCACATTGCGCTCAACAAGTAAGGTACCTGCGAAAGCAGTTGCGGAGTGGCCATGCGCACCGCGGACGCCGGCAACGTGAGCGTGGGCGACCCTGTGCCTGCGCCCGAAACTCTGATGGCTCCTGCACTGCTGACCAGCGATCCACCAGCCGATACAACCTGAGGGGAAGGGGGACTTGCTTATTGCTACAAACTATTAGGTCTCGTTAATATTTTTATTCCATCAACCTATTAATTGTAGTACTTCTACAGTAATAATTTAGATGTGAAAGTATATACATGAAGTTACTTTGTCGCGGTGTAATAATTTCACGTTATAGACACGTACTAAGGAAGTAAGTGTCGAGGCGAATGAAATTAATATTTAATTGTGAAAACCAGATGATTCACGAGACAGACCTGAATAGTTTGTCGAATTCCTTGATGTGCAACACTTGCTGGCAAAACTTTAGTTGTGCCTTGCAGGTTGCTGCTGCTGCCTATATTCTTGGCGGTAGTGAGAACAGTCCCACCCTGGGGAATGAGATCCATTATTAAGGATACGAAAGTAGCATCCTCCTGACTTTTGATCTGGAGGACACTATATGTAGTGAAAGATTAATCCTGGCCTTACACAGAATAGGTGGATAACTACAGTGTAAGCGCAGGAAAAGTAACCACAAAGAGAATATACCCCAAAAATGTTCGAACTGGTTAGTTTCACTAACCAAATGAACTGGTTAGTTCGAAGTTGGTTAAACGTCTCACCACAAAATTCATCAACAAACGAAATGTATTTGAAGAATTATCTGAATACTAAAACATTTTTTAAAAGCGAAACATGGAAATATTAATGTGGCACGCTCAGAATTTACATGGCAAATATTATAGATACACAAATAAATAGCAGAGCAATGGGGGAGAAAAATACTTACGTGGGAAGATACAGAAGCAAGATGATGAACGGTCTGTGGAGTGACTTGCTTGAAGACCTGAATCTGCTGCATGGCGCCGCCCTTCTGTCCGGGCGTCCCTTGTATGATCTGAAGAGTGCCGAGGCCGCCAGAACCTGGCGTGCACTTGGTGCCCAACTGAAGACCTACCGTGGCGCCTTTCATCACAGTCGTCGCGGCAGTTACGCGCTGCTGCAACTGCTGTTTTGCATTCAGCTGTACGTCAAGAATCCGAAGTTAAAACTTACGCTAAGAAAATTGTCGACTAGATTAAAGTATGCCGATTCTATTGATTTGACCGAACCTGATACAACTGCTCGACATGAATGGATTGTTCAAATCTAACTTTAAGTAATCATAAATTAGATTGATGAGGTGCAGTTGATCTGATGAACAATATACATTATTCTAGATAATAATTCGGTGAAAAGCATTTAGAAAAGGCATTCGTTTTTTTGCTTGAACTGACACTACAACACTATCTATAAATAAATCCATGAGTTGTTAAGATCTAAAATTTGAACAGCAGAAGCAGTTGAATTTCAAATTCCTTTTCTACACTACTTTCCCCATTCATCTCTGTCGTTTGCATCTCAAATACTGTTGATGTTAAGTTCGAAGAATTTATGATAATTAAATATTAGTGAGCTTTTCCAGTTTTGACTTCTCGTGACAGCACTTCATCTCACAAGAGGCAGACAACTTTATCTATTCATAAATTTTCAACAATCGCAATACATTTTGCAAGACTTTTATGAGTATGATTTGATATACACTGGCATAATTTATTTCTTAACTGAAATACAATTCAAGTTACCAATGTTCCTACTTCGAATTGTGAGTTTAGGTGAGAAACAGAATTGATGAGCATTAAAATGTTTCACCAAATGAACATAATTATTGCAATATCAGAAATAACAAAATAATTTTAACCCAGAATCGTTCACTTTTATCGTGCACTGATGAAAAGAAATAATTCTTGCCGATGTATATTCCAATAATCATCACTTCGCCAGATTAGATTTTAACTCTCATGTTAAAAAGAGGACACACAATAAGAATTTTAGTACAAAGTTAAATATATGCCATGCAATAAAACAAGCACATTTTCCCAGCCATTATTCAAAATTGAACTCATCTTGTTTCCATTGAGGAAATATTGCACGAATAAAGACGTCAGAAGAAAGTATTTGAGGATACTAACTGCAATGCCGGTAGAGGTTGTTTGGGCGCCCCCAGAGGCAGTACCGGCAGCCTTCAGGATGGTGGCGTTGCTGCTCCCCGTACTGATGATGCTGCCGCCTGATGCTAGGATGCTGGCATTGGCACTGCTCAGTGCGATACTCCCAACCTGGAGACAAAAAATGAAGCCTCCTTAATTTTAAATTTTCAAGTTTAATCTAATGAAAGTTGCATAAAATAGGTACCTAAACGTGGAGCTTAACTATTTTGAAACGTCTCTCCAGAAATTAAAAATTTAAACGATCGCTCTGTCTATCCAGTAGACAGCTCAGAGAAATGCTTCATGTAATGCAATAACAGAGTTATTAAATAAAAAAAGAAATGATCTAATTATGTAATCTCATTGGAACACTACAAATTTATGGTCTAAATCTCGATTGCACGAAGAAGATGAGTTAAGACACATAGTTAGATTTGGATCCTTTTTGACAGAATTCCGATGAAATTGTACCTGTGTGAGTGAGCTAGTCTTTGCATGCTGCTGTTGTTGTTGTTGCCTGCGGATAATTGCGTTCATCTCTGCTTCAGAGACTGTCCTGGTGATAGTCTTTGTCTGCTGGGGATGAAGAGCAGCGGCGGAAGTTGTCACCGACACGACTGCAGCGCCACCGTGTTTGATAATTTGACTTCGACTAGCCTGTGACACCTGATAAAATACTTAAATGTATTATCTCGTAAATGAAAAATACTAGGAATCACAAAAATTTTGTACAACGATGGAAGGCGGTCCTTGATGGAATTATAAAAAGAAATGTGCGGCATACGTATTGATAACAGCATTGTCAATCTATTTGAATGTATAGGAACCGAAAAGAGAACGATATTTTTATAAGGTATTTACCATGATTAACCAAAATTTAAAGCTATTTAATAGTGCACAAATTAATCAAATAATATGTTGTGACCTAATCAAACAGAATTAGTATGACTACAAAGAAGCGGAAAATGGAATGATTTAAAACTACTGACTTGAATGGCGGTGATACCCTGAAGATTGGACCCTGATACCGCAACGGGAAGCTTCTGGCCAGAGGTGGTGCCCGTTCCGATCTGCAACGAAAATATTTAGAATTATTTTCTTCATAGGAAAATGATGGCAAGGGATTTGAAGGAGAAATGAAATTCAAATAAAAAGCATTTCAAACAATAGAAAATTACACATTTTAAATGCTTAATATTGGAACTCTAATTTCAGCTTGCAGTTTATTTGTGACGGCTCCTTCAAAAGACGTATAACCGATTTCTTGATATGAAAACATAACTCAACACGCAAGTAAAAGTTGAAGTCAACACTTACTTGTAGGCGTTTGATCGCCTGCTGAGGATGAATATAGGTTAGCTGGCTTGGTGTGATAGTGCGCGGTCCGGAGACTCCTGCTTTGGTTTGTATGCCCGTCACCTGGATTGGCTGGGAAAACTTGGCAGCAGCTTGTATCTGCGCCAACGACGCCATGCTCACAACTGTGGCACCTTGTGTCCCTTGCGGTCTGAGTTCCTGTAACGCGGCGGTGAGCTTAGCACTGCGGGCGGTAGTTCCGATGGACGATACGGCTAATGGAACAGACGCGGCTATAGAGCGCACGTTCGCGCTGCTGGACGGAAGTAAGATGCCAGCTGTTGAAGTATTGCTGCTGGTTGCAATGTTTGCCGTTGCAATGAGACCTGATGCCAGCGATGCAACCGTTACTACCTGAGGAGTACCCAGGTTAGTAGACGCCGGAGGTACAACAGTACTGGTCGCGCTGGTCGCTCCAATTGCCGGAGTCACCACGGTTCCAGAAAGTGGAACAGTTCCAGTAATAGTAGCAGCGGTGGTTAGCAGTCCACTCACAGTGTTGGTGCCAGCTGAAGAAACTACGACAGCATTTCTGCTCACAACATTTCCAATTATTTGTTGTTGGTGATGGTGGTGAAGTGTTGCAGTTCCCAGATGTTGCTGTTGCGTAACAGATTGTTGCTGAAGGGGCTGAGAAACGACTTGCTGAGGCTGTGATTGCTGCACCACAGCACCTCCAGTCACTTGAACGGTCGGTTGTTGGATGACTTGCTGCTGAAGTTGCTGCTGGAGTTGCTGCTGTAGTTGTTGCTGTTGTTGCAATCTTGACTGTTCCAAAAGTTTCTGTTTCTCTTTTTCTTTTATCCTTTCTGGGCGCGTGGCTGCTACCTGCTCAGGAGTAAGTGGAACTTCCCAGACGACGCCTGTCGGAGATATGGCAGGCGAGCTTTTAGTAGTGCGTAGGCCAGCGCCAACGGCGGCAAGGGATTTGGCTTTAGATGCATGTTGTAGCTTGGCTTGTTTCGCTGCCTCGAAGCGACGAGCTGATTCCGTTGCGAAGTCAGTGTTGTCTGCGAGACTACCACCTCCGCTGCCGGCACCACGGCTCTGTAAAAAAAACAGTCACTCACATAAAATTAAGACAAACAATCTCGTTTAAAATACTATAAAATATGGGAATGACTACATTTATAAGCGCCTCAGTTGTCATTAATAAAACTCCAACAGCATTTCAATAGCAGAAACGTGCAAAAGAAATTTTCACGTGTAATCAATATTAACCTTGGTTGTTTTAGGATGGCCGCGATTAGCCATACCCGCCGAAGCAAGAGCTACTAGTCTGACATTGTCGGTGGTGGAGACAGCGGGAGCTGCGCCGTCCTTCTGAGCGAGGGTAGGCACCTTCGTCAGGAAAAAGTCATGCCGAGCCCGACACGCCCGAGGGCTGCGGTAGGACCGCGAGACACGGTTCACTTGATCAGCTAGTAAGTCCCAGTTGACGGTGTGGCCAGGGTTCGGAGAGTCCAGCCCGCACTGAGAAACAAAATCAACATCAAGCCTCACAAAACACTAAATTCACACATTCTTTATGAGAAGCACAGTATTTATTACAGAACTCATTTCATTTCAATGCCCACAATAAGCATTTAAACCTCCAACTCGTCGCCCGCCCATCTACATTCAAGGGCCACCAACACACCATTGAAATGAAGAGCAAGATTGTGGCGTCCTCCTGCTGACTCCACTCCAGCCAAGCGTCGTCTGAAGACTTGAGGGCGCCGCTGCCTAGTGCACAAGCTCCTCCTGCAGATCTGTGCAGGAATATGGTTTATTACAATCACATTTATCTCTATTACTATTTACCGCTATTAACATTTACCTCTACTACCCATTACCTACCATATTATGTTTTTAGCTCTATTACCCTTTTTTTAGCTCTATTACCCTTTACCTATATTTTCATAAAGCTTTATTACCGTTTACCCATACTTTCACTTAGCTCTATTACCATTCACTTTAACTACCATTCTAAGTCGAGGCTCAATAGGAGTGGTTCTAATCGATTTAAACGAAAGCCATCACTCTTTCCATTTTGCACTTGGATAATGAACAAATTAACAAGCGTCAACCTTCAGGTTGAACATCAAATGATGCAATTGTATCAATCATTAGGTTGAGAACAATAAGTGTACTCGCACATGTACGAGCGTATTTCGGGTTCAACATGAAAAAATGACCCGCATTAAAAATTATATAGAACATCAATAGGTTACTCCATCTGATACTCATGTTAACATCAGCAAAAGACTCGTATAAATCTTCATCTTGCATTAAATAAACGTAAAATAATGTAAATACTACAGCGTTATTGCATACACTCTTATTAAGAAGTAACTCCAATCAACATTCAAGTTGAACATCAACATGTCAATGTATCAATTTTCATGTTACAAATCAAGAAACATAAATCGCTACTGTCACCTGTAGACCGCCGCGCCTCGCGGAGTGTTGCGGAACTTGGCCAGGGTGAACTCGCGCTTGAAGCGTATCGTGTTGCTGCTCACGACGCCCGCGCGGTCGAACAGAGATCGCGGCGCGACGAACGACTCCTCCAAGTGACGTGACCGGTCACTTTCGTTGCCTGTAGGTGTACAAGATCACGTTGGGTCTTATTAATTATTATTACATGAAGCTGTAACTAAAAAAATCGTCAAATACTCTCACTGTTGATATATGTGTGGTCTTACTTAATGAACATAAAAGATGAAATGTAAACAACGATAACTTTGCTCGTAAATAGAACGTAGTAATTAATAGTGGCGAATGAACAATTGCCGTTTCGCACGTCGAAAAATTGCTTCGTGATCGGCATAGGGAACTGATTAAAGGTGGAGGAGTCGACGAAGTATTGTGGTAAATAAGCCGGTTATTCATAGCCCTTCTAATACTTCTAACGACCCGAATGTCTTCCTTCCCAGCCCTTTCAAAACTATGAGCATCAGAATATTTGAACAGTAGTAGTAGTATGACGGTTTACTAGCACTTCAGCTATCAAGCTATTTCGCACCGAAGGTCAAAATATAACATCGCCAGTAAGGCGGAAGGTCTCAATTATTTAAAATATAAAGTTAATCATCACCCTCAAGGGGCGGAAGGTCTCAATTGTCCAGCCCGCCGAAGCTGGCTCGAAGGAAGCAGCGTTAGCATCACAAAGAGACAAAGTGACAAGGAGGGACAGGTGAAAAGCAACAGAAACGAAAACACTCGAACAAGAGGTCGCTTCCACGGGACGTCGGCCGGCCGCACGAGAGAGTCAGAGAAGGGAAATGAAAGGAATCCTGCCTACCTAATAAACTTAACCCCACAACTGAGACCAGCAGTCAGACACCGAGAGCTCAGCGGTGGGGCGCTCAGGAACAATCCCCCTAGGAACGCGAAATCCCATAGGACTTCTGATGCGCACAGACAAATATTTGTCCAGCAATTGACAATTCCACTATTAATTAAGTGTACCAGCGAATTCTGCTTAATCATCGTGTGATTTTCAAGTGATTAAATTATAAAAATGATCCAAAAAATACATGAATAAGTTTTGAAACGAATGTAACCTGCTGGAGCGATCCTCATGCGCTTGTGCCTCGGCGCCCTGAACGTGACAGGAGGGAGGGCGCTCTCCGTCATGAGATCCTTCACGTAGCCTGGGGGACTCAGGTCCACGAAACGGTCCCCAGTCCCCCTAGGTGGCGTAGGAGGAAGCCACACGTCCAGTCCCTTCATGTCAACCACGGGAAGCCACAGCTGCACGAACACGTCCACTACAATATTCGCCATAAGAGTCTTAACATCCTTGTACCATAGCATCGAATTTGAATGCATTTTCAGTATAAGCATAAATAATTCTCCGGAACGAACTTGTCTGTCCTACCAGAAATATTAGTAGCGAGAAATACAATTTACTTCTACCAGGAATACATTGAAAGTAGCAACAAAGTCATTTCTTGTGTCCATGTGAGATGTAAAGAAAATGTGCCAGTGTTGTAAGTATTCCACTAATACTTATTTTATTTTGACGGATCATAACTCTGCAAAATTAGTCACTTAGCGGCACTTCCATTGCCATTATGCTAACAATTTCGGATATATTGAACTATACTTCTAACAACTCTTTCTGACGAAGTAACCTAGGTTATAGATGGTAGCTCTGACTCTTGCATCTAAAACCAAGCTGTCTTCTCATAGTAGAGTAATGCCATTTTATAAAATAAATACGGACGCTTTCTCATGGAGGTGGTTTCTTCAGTGCAGGATAATGCAATGTACCAAATCGTGATTTCCTGCACAGTGCATGATATGCACTGTACTACGTTAGTATAACGGTTTCCTGCACTACTATAGTGGGGTTCTTATCACAGTGCATGATAGAGCACTGCAACAAGTTGAGGTTGCCTGCACAGTGCATGATAGTGCACTGCACCAAGTTGTGGCTCCCTGTACAATGCATGATAGTGCACTGCACCAAGTTGTGGTTCCTTGCAGTGCATGATAGTGCACTGCACCAAGTTGTGTCTCCCTGCACAGCGCATGATAGTGCACTGCACCAAGTTGTGGTTTAGTGTATCGAGGGAAAACTGCTAAGGCCGACGTTGCTGCTGCTGTGGCTGCCGCCCTTTGCAGTTGTGCGAGTGTAAAAGAGTTAGTGTTGCGGAATATTTCCAATTGAACGTGAAATTTTTAAAGCCAAGTCTATTAATTGACGGGAACTATAGTTATAAGTTGAAGTGCAACAAATGAAGAAGAGATTTAATCCCGTGAACATCGTATGACATCACGAGGTCGTTAAAATAAAATAGAACCAACGATAAAAGAACTTTGCCAGAGTTTAATTTGTACTTTTCCTTGCAGCGGCGGGTCATGTGAATGTTGAGAGATTGATAATTGAAAGCTTCAGAGCACAGCAAACAAATTGAATGTAATGTTAGGGAGGTGCAACGCCGAAGCACGAAATAAAGCAATGTAAAATAGGTGAGGTTGTGGTAGGTGCAAGCGATGGTTATGGTAGGCGTGTACACTATCATGCCTGCGTAGGAAGCAACCACAGCGCAGAGCTAGTCAGGATAGTTGTAGTCCCACAGGATACACAAAACCAAAACACACACACAGCTCGCAAGTGTTTAATTGCAGGGGATACTATCGTGATGGCGACAGTTCATCACGATTGTTAGATCAACGGTACAGACTAGCGCACATGACATTAAACGCCTTATTAGTCAATCCAACATCAAGATATCAGAATCTGAATAACCTGTCTGCGAGACATAAGAAATCGATTTCTGAAGTTGAAATGTCAGGTGCCTATTTACCAACAAAACTTATCATGCCATTTATAGTCAGTGAAACATTAGATCCCTACTCCAGACAGTTGAACAAACGACTTTAAAACATTCCTAAGAAATCAAAGAGCAAAGCAAATTTGATACAAATCATAGCATTCAGAAATGATTAAATTCCATATCCGCAATCCAGCAGCACTACAGAAATTTCAAATGTAAATCAGGAAAGTATGACAATGATGTAAGAGTCGAAATTAAAAGTAAAAAAATACCATTAAGAAAAAATCACAACAAATTTTTTTAAGATATGACCATTTTCAGCCTACACGCTCCCGAAATAACGCATTTAGCTCCGAGATTAAAATTCGAAGGTAACATTACCAGGACAACTTCGACTGGCAGACTAACTAACAATCTTGGCTGGAACTCGTATGATCCTGGATACGAAAATTACGAATTGATGCCAGTCATGCGCAGCATAAAATGAACAAAACCACATGTTGAATACAACGTTGTGAGCACACGTAAAGTTCGATAGTACATGCCATTCCTATCATTATTATCCAACTAGTTTCTTAAGCCCGGCGAGGGAGAGGATTGAACTCTAAAATGTCTACTATGATATATACACTATTGACAATAGCCTAGAGGCTTATATACAGAAATCACAGTCTTCGTAGCCTAGGAATTTTAGAAAAAGTTCATGGGATTACATACATCGGTGGCAGTCACAAAACCAGCATCTAAGCAATGTTACAGCACGTAATTTACAATCACATACACACACATTGGTGGCTGAGCTTACTTGCATTAAAATAATTCCAGAACATAAATTTACCAGCTGCCGTGACACACATTTTGATTTCAAATAAATACATAATATAAATTTTTGGATTCAGAGCGATGATCGAACGGTAACATGATTTCAACAAAATTATAGAACATTGAGGGTAAGAAATATAAAATATCATTTCTAGGAGAGCAGTAATAAATAATTTTCATAGAAGAGAATTGAGGATCGCATCAGCACCATATGTTTGGATAAGCTGTTATCCACAATGCATCAATAAGTTTACGCACACATCAGGCCAAAAACTGGTCCTGCATAATAGTGTTCCACTCAAGTATCCGCCAGTCAAATCCTTCTTTTGTGCGGTGCTACAAACAAATTTAAATTAACTAAAACTCTAACTACCTACAACGATAGTTTTTTACCTGTAAGGTTGTAACAGTGAGATATACACCAGGTGGCCACATCAGACAGCACAGTGCGTTCTCACGGAAAACTTTACATACTCGCTTATAACTATCAAGTATGCGTAGAAATAGGAGCATGAAGTCAGCACTTGATGACAAGATGTATCGAAAGATTATCTGTTGTCATTTGAAAGCTCCTGACAACGATCGTGAAACTGTTGCAATGAAAAAACTTTGTTCACGAAGACCAGATGAAAGTTATGTCACCGTATTCGTTACCCGTTCATAACTGGCATTATGACACATGATAATGTACTCATAGCATTCATTTCTTTCCAGTGCCCTCATAAATAATCTGGTCAACAAAAACAAATCCCATTGACTAGCAGGGATTTTTCACCACAAGTTCTTACAATTTAGTGACCAGTTGGTCAACTCTGATGGTTATCTGTAGTCAAGAATGCCAATCTCTCATACCAATACTTGCACAATCGGAGTCAGAAATAAACAAATGCTACCGATATCTGCGGTCATTTTGTAACTTCCTGTGAATTAGCTGCTGCTGTGCCAGGCAGCAATCAACACGAGAGCCGCACTACCTACTTCACCTCAGATGAGAAAATGTAGCGCTCCTTATGAACGCAATGTGTGGTTGGAAGGAGTCGGGATTAATTTTACCCAAGTTATCTAGGGCTTTACCTGAGCGGTAAGTAATTCTCCCACACGATGTCTATACTCTGAAGTAAGAGAAAAATTATGAATATACATTGTAATCGGATTGAGTTGTTACAGTTCAGGAGTGGAAAACGTACCTATAAAATTCGATTATGATTCAAAATGAACTATATATAATGAGTAAATAAAAATTATAAAAGTATAGAAAAATGAAAGCATTAATTTAATGCAGCTAACGATTCTTCTAATATCATTCACCTCAAACTTTAGCAGCTCTTACATTCGTTTCGAATTTGAGAAAAAGTAAGCAACAGAACCACAGGACAAGAGATTCAAATACGATGGTCAATGCGAACGTCGCAGCTAACAACAGAAGCAAGGAAACGTTCATGTTCTGGGATTTTCAGTAATAATGGCATCCCTGCTAACAAGAAGCACTCTTCAATCCGTACTTTGCTTGAAATTCAATTCAGTATGAAATTAACCATAGTAATTTTCGACGGATTGCACAATTGAATACTAGTACCTCACATGTAAGATCTCATGAGATTATAAAAATTGGACAAAAATCTAAATTTGATCGGATGCATATACTCAACCCACACCATCGTCGCCGTTAGGCATAGATAATGCACCAGCACTGGCGTCACTAACAATATCACATTTCAATTTGTTAGGTGTAGTTGTATCAACGCTGGTTTCCATAACTTCAGACTGGTCAATGTTAGCCTCATCGCCGTTATTCAGCAATTCATGATCGACTATGACATTTTTATCAATATCACCATTGGATGCGAGAGCGGTCTCAACATCGTTACACACCATCGATGTATCGATATTGATATCAATATCTGCACAGATTTCATCATCAGCATCAGTGTGAGCAACAGCCACACTATCATTATTGTCGTCAGGTGCATCACCGACTGATTGTTTGCATGCAGACGCAGCTTCATCGCGACCGTCTGTTTTGCCCCGTTTATCCAGCGTCCACAAGTCAATATTGACCTGCACACGTGAACGAGTCCGAGGTGTGGAATCGCTCACCTCTTCCTGAGTGCTAGGGTGCAGTCTTGATGGTGTACTTTCATGCGAGGCAGTTCTTCCTTTAACATCGGTGTTAACATAATTTGACACTTCGTTACCGTCGTTACCCGACTCAGTGTCACTCTTGGCATCATCGCTACTATCGCTGTCACCTGATTCATCGTCACTGTCATCATCATCGTCACTATTGCAATCGCCATTAACCTGGTCAGCACCAACAGTGAGAGGACCATCATCGTCGTCATCGTCTAGCACGTCTCGAGCCCGCTTCTCGCCGTGCCCCTGAAGCGGATCTGTGGTCTTGAGTGCACGTTGCCTGTCCAGCTCCCACTCCTTCTTCTGCTGTTCCAGCTGCTGGTCGAGGCGGTGCTGCTCCAAAGCGATGCCTTCGTCTGCGCACTCCAGCACGTTCATGGCATACCTCTCCACGCCAGTCAACTGTAACAAAAGGTATACGTAGAAAAAATTCTTGGTAAATGATGACATTATCAATAGAGCTATAGATATAAAGCTATCTCGCGCCGATAGTTCCTAATATACCTACATCTCTAAAAAATTAGGGGCTCGATCAACAATTTCCAAAATAAATCATTCCCTATCAACAATTTCCCAAATTAAATCATTCCCCATCTCAAAAAATGAAGGCCTCAAATCACGAAAGTGCTGAAGCTTTTATGAAACGTGAAATGAGCAGTAAATAGAGAGAGAAGAGAAATAAGAAAAATATTGATTATCTAGAAACTTGACCCCTCTACTGGCATTCGTAATCAGGCAAAATAAGTTCTGGAGTGGTATTATCATGAACAGTGCCTCAAAGAGTCAACGCTCTAATACTGCCTAATCATACCACTTGGGCATAAAATCATACTCCATACAATACAACATTGGTAAATCATGTACAAGACGACAGAAAAACCAGAGTAAAATAGTGAATCAATTAAACTTTAATCATTAGTCTAAAGTTAAGCGAGTTGTAGCGTTGATCGCAACATACCTGGGACATGAGTTTATTGATTTCCAGCTGGACTTTACTGGGTTCCTCAGCACCAGGAGCGCCCGAGGTACTGGGGTTACTGTCCTCATTGAGGGGAATGTTTTCGTCGAACTCGGCGAGATCGGCCGCTGCCTCAGCCATAGCGTAGCGTGCAGCCACCACGTCAGTCTCGTCCTCTGCCGCCGCCAGTGCGTTCTCCAAGGCACCTAATAAAACAATCAGGGATTGCATCAAGTTACTGCTGTCATTTCCGCGGTAGATAAATAATCGCGTACCTCCGTGTTATTTGGGCTGAGGCAGGCTGGGCAAGATCAAGGGTAGCAGGTCACGGGGCATAATTTATACGCAGCATTCATTGAGTATGCTGGAGAGATGGTAATGTTACGGTTACAACTCAATCATATGCTATCATTCTAGTTAATGAGATTGTGCATTAAAATTGCATACAATTCAACACTGAGTTCCGAGAAGAGAAACTCTGTGAAAGTGATTTAATCACAAGAAATATGTAGGAGTAACTATAACCAAAGCGCACCTGGTTTGATGGGAACAACGGAGTCAGGTGAGGCGTCCGCACCAGCAGATCCAGCAGGCTTGTCAAGCAGCTCAGCCATGCGATGTGTCGCGTCAGCGTCGGTTGACACACTGAACAACTCTTGAATAGTTTGCTGGCGAGAAAAATATTAGGGTGAAGTAGTCATGATCTAACTCATTTAAGCTCTAATATCTTCCCGAAGCATCACCTAACCACTATCAACGCTAACAGCAAAGCTTCTCTACAGCTCCTACACAACAAAAGATGAGCAACGAACCTCTTTGAAGAAGGCAGTTGTGAAGTTGCCGCCTTCGATTGCAAGGTTGCCAAGCATACGCTTCTGGTTGGCTTTTTTGAGAATGTTTTCTTCTATTGTCTTCTCAGAAATTAGGCGATAGATGTGGACATCACGGGTCTGGCCAATGCGATGGCAACGATCCTGGGCCTGCAGTGTACATATAAAGTCACGGATCAGAGTAGTCTTTAATATTTGCAATTTGTAAGCTTGGCAAGTGGTATCATAAAATTAACAACAATGATTTTGCCAACAGTACTACAATATTAACCATATAATTTATACAAATTGAAAGGATCAAAATCTAGAGATTTATCAGGCGATGCATTTCCAATAAATATTACAGAATAGTTCTAAAACCGTGAGCAGGAGAGCCAACAAATGATCAATATAAACACTGCAATCGGATAAACAATGAAATAACCATATAATTTGAACAAGACTGGCTGCAAGTTGCAAGTAATATTACCTGAGCGTCCATAGTCGGGTTCCAGTCAGAGTCGTAGAATATGACAGTGTCTGCACCCGTGAGGTTGACGCCGATGCCTCCAGACCGCGTCGAGAGGATGAAGCAGAATATTCTCTTATCTTGATTGAAACGTTCCATCAACACCTGTGAAACACGTGATGGAAATAAAGGTGAGTCTGTGTGTAATTGAAAACTATTTGGAAAAATGAAATAATACATAATATACTACATTTATAATAAAAAAAGACCAAGGTCATGAATGATACCTACTACTTACCCCCTAATATACTGAAACTACTTGCAACTTTTAAAGACGTTTAAAATTGGGGGGAATTTCAAATTGCTATGAACATATGAATAATGATCTAAGTTCAGAAGTAAACTGAAATATTGTACTCGCAGATAGAATAGCATCTAATCCTATACCTACCTGTCTGTCCTGGACTTTGGTAGTGCCGTCGAGCCGGAGGTAAATATGACCGTGGTAATTCAGGAAGGATTCAAAGACGTCCAGCATGCGAGTCATTTGCGTGAAGATCAGAACGCGATGACCATCGGTCTTCAAGGTGCGCAGAAGACGATCAAGAGTTTGCAGTTTGCCTGTCGATTTAAAAAAATATAACTCAGTACTCTGCAGTGAGTGACAGAGAGCGCATTTTTTCGTCGACGAAAACGTGAAGTTATGGACGGACAGACAGACGGACATGGCGAGCACAATAGCGCCTTTTTCCATAAATGAGAAAATGTGCTAAAAATGCTAGTTTAATGCTAAAAACAAAATAGATGCTTATTTTATAAACGAAGAGTATTCTTCCATTGTCGAGCTGGAGATAGCCAAGTAATATTCACATGAATAAGATCATAAACATAACTGTCGAAACTATGTGGACAATTTCAATGCGATTATGGAAATTAATTGAAAATTTTCCAGTTTGATTTTCATATTGCTCTAATGTTGGGACAGCACCATCCCAACACTTTCCAATAGATTTTTGAGATGCCACATGACAAATAATCTGCATAGTTTGGACATAACGGCTCAGATACGTCAAAAACAGACCGTCAAAAAGCTTGACAAGCGCCTACCTTTATCGCATCAAATTATCTCTTATCACCTTTACACAATCAAACAATCCCATGCATGATGAAAAACGATAATTCTGGGATTGAATAAGAGTCAGGGCAGATTGAGGTCCACCTTTGAGAGCGTGAGAAGAAACACTAACCACAATCATATTGAATGAGCCGAGGATCAGGGAACTGCGTGAGCTGACTGTTGATGATGGAATGATGCCGCACGGCTTCAGGACTGAGGAGCTTCATGACCTGCTGCTGCGTGTGGCGCTCCCGTATCACCTCTGAAGGGTCGGGGTGATGAAGCAGGAGCTGCGGGGCGCTGCTCACCACCGCGGGAACGCACAACACGAACCGGTCCAGTATACCCTGTATATTAGTTCATAATTATCAACAAACGTAAAACTTGATAATGAATTGCAGAATCTCAAAATCATCAATGAAAAACCTGTCTACAGTCTAGGGTCTAGGCGATTCAATATGAAACAGGCTCTTCTTTTGTCGAGGACTAGCCAAGATCGAATAACCCAGTTGATTCCAATTCGACAAGAGTATCTAAGAATGAACGTAAGATTGGTTCCACGGGGAATTTTCGAATCTGTATCTCATCAAGCAACAAAGCACCATCAAGTGGAGGCACCTACCTTCATATGATCAAGTCGCTGTTCGTTAGTGTACGCCAGCGGTTGCATGGCAGATTGTGTTGACCAGAGTAGGCCGTTGAGCGGCTGTGGCACCGTCACCGCCTCGATCAGGTCCTCACCATAGATGGGACACGCGCGGCAGCGACGCGTGTTCAGGCGTGCGAGTGTGAGCAGCTTGGCTCGACGAGCTTCTGCACGTGCCTCTTCCAAGTCGCTCTGGTGACACACAATATTTACTCGAGTGAAGACATAACACAAGAAAGTTATTAGAACAAACACAATTAACATCAACGTCATGATTTTCTTGGTAAAAGAAGGTCGACAAAAGTGAACTGACCAGGTAAAATATGCTGGTGACACACAATATTTACTCGAGTCAATACACAACACAAAAAAATTTATTGGAATAAACACAATCAACATCAATGTAATAATTTTCATGGTAAAAGAAGGTCGACAAAATTGAACTGACCAGGTAAAATATACTGCGCTTTCGCTCGTCCTGCTTGGAATTTTTCGCTGGCGAGACGCCGGCGCCGCGAAACCCACGAGCTGGCGACCGCGACTCCGACGCCGGCCCGGCCGGGCTGCCCTGTGAACAAGAAAAATTTTATAAAACTCGCACCTCGGAAATAATGTGAGACAAAATAAACAAACCATACAGCGAGCTACTAAATTTCTTTCCCGATTTGCTGTAATGTTTCCTGGAAGAAATTCTATGACTCAAAAAACGATATTTCATCAGCTCAAAATAGTTATTACTTAAAACGACATCCAAGGAATGATCATGAGTATCATGAAAGAGATTTTATCAACACAAACCGAGAACTGAAGTGAACTTCAAAGGCAGATCTCATGCACAAACGCACTTGAGTTATGAAAGCAAACTATAAAAGAAGCACTCACATTGCCGGTGGGAGAGGGCATGGGAGTAGGAAGGGGTGTACTCTGAGGCGTGCTCTGAGGGGTGCTCTGAGGAGTAGAACGCACTTGTACCCCTCCAGTAGCGGTCTGAACAAATGAAATGTTCACTTTAAATACCTTATCACATACACAAATGAATAATAAAGAAGTATCAATGCTAGAAGCCTTACTTAAACTTGAATTTCGTCAAAATCGCAAAATATAATATATAAGTATAAATAGAGAGGAAACAATATTGCAAGCCAGGGAAATGATGCATTTCCATTCATATACAATAGCTAAGTGTAAGGACATGCACTTTGGTCATGTAGCAGGAACATGTCGGGGATTGGCGTGTAAATAAGAGTATTAGAGAGCAGCCAATGGTTCTGACACTACGCGAGATTTGATTCTGATTTGTTTTTCACCTTTACAATTATTCTAAAAATTCAAAGTTTTTAATCGATTACAAAAATGAGTTTAAACAAAATTTGAATTCCAATGTGCAACTTAATTTTATTATCAGTATGAATTTTGCCCACAATAGCAGCTTAAGGCACCAAAAGAAGAGAGAATACGCTATTTTTCACAGCTTGAAATGCAGTTCATTGTTTGTACGTCATTTCAGATGATCATAAAAATTCTTCCACATAGCAGGTTTCATAAATCAGAGCAAATTAGTTCATAGAACTAGATATACAGAATAATCGAGCTCAAAATTAAGTTCTTGAGCTGACGTGAGTATTGACATTCAATGTTTACCTACGTTTAATGTTTACCTGAGTGAGAGGCGGTCGTGATTTGAGAGCGGCAGTAGGAAGAGGTAACCACACATAGACAACACAAAACATTATTATTGGACGTGCTTAGTGAAGTTAATGTTTACCTGAGTGAGAGGAGCGGCGGTCGTGGGCTTGAGGGCGGCGGCAGAGGGCGGTAACCGCAACACAGGTCGTCCTCCAGGACCCAGCGTGAGCACGGAGCCCTGCAGGCTCTTCAAACCCTGGATGGACTGGATCTTCTGAAGTAGAGCAGTCGCTCCGCTCGTGCTCACACCTGAACAATCATAATGACATAGAGAAACCAAAAATTATATTAATCAAATTGAGAAGGCACACATTACTATGGAATAGGTAAGTAGGGATCAGTATTTACACACAGAGGCAAATCGGGGCTCACAGGCGAAATCTGAAATGAAATTGTTAAAATATAAAACAAACGTTGTAAAGAGAGTCGATGGTAACAATAGAGTAACAAGAGAGGAAAGTAGTTTGAATAGAAATTAAACTTCGAGCAACGACGTGTTTATTCCGAATGCATTTCGGTTGTTGCAGACTCCACTCTGGTGGCAGGACAGCTACAAATTGTGTGCTTTCTTTTGCAATAAAGAGTATTGTATTACTTATGTCATGCGTGAACAGTCAAATGAGGACTTTCCACAAGTAAAAACCTCATGAAAAAGAGAGCATACACTATCTACGTTAGAGATATAATGTGTGTATGAGCGATGGTTCAAGCTGCTAACACTGTCTCCTGACAACTGTAAATATATACCAGTGACTGTAAATATATATAGCAGTAACTCACCCTGCAGTGAGGTAGGTGCAGCAGCAGGTGCAGTGCCGGTTTGCTGTGGTCGTGTGGCGGTGGTGAGCAGCAGCTGGCCAGACGCGGTGTGCATGAGTTGCAGTCCCTGCAGCTGCTGTCCGCTCCCTGCGACGGGTTTGGCCCCAGACCCTGACACTCGATTGACAGGAACACCGGCACGAACCGCACCCGAGTTCACGGCAATCGGGATTGCTGGCGAAGGAATATGAATTTTTGAGAAACTTGTCTCATGATTGAGTAAAATTGAAAGTTCAGAGTTACAGTACCAGACAAATCTAGATAAGGTCAGAATTTATACAAGTTTTTGGTCGCTCAGCGAGTGAGAACATGTAAACAAGGGATAATAATAAACAGGATATGGTTTAAATGACAGGTTCCTTTCAGTTCCAGTGAAAAACAATGCAGTCTAACAGCTCATGAGAAAGGGTGCAAGAGAGTACAATTCTGGAGCAATAATCTCAGTATGTTCATGAATTATGGTTACAAGAAAACTACCAAATGCCTTGCTTTAGGGTTTTTAGCCATTCATTGAGCGGACAAATACGCAAAAAATTTGAAGTTCTAAGGCTAGTATGAGCAAATACGACCAATTATAAGACACCTATACTCAAGAGCATAGTACCTCGAAATTTTATTTATTAAAGGAATAAATCGAAGTTGAACTATTTAAAAATACAATCGGTCATTATGCTCAAAATATTTAGATTCGCGGAAATTTTCATACCTAATTATCTAATTATCAAGGAAGCAACTATGTATGCTAACTTGTCAACCAAAAGGTTTAGAATTTGCAAATTTGGCTCATCCTTGATCAAATAGCTGTGAAATTTCTTTGTCGCGGAAAAAAATTTTAATTTGATTTGCCTCTTTTCAAATGGGACATGGGACACTGCGTAGCCGGCTTTGTGAAACTCCACGATTCAATAGCTTAGAAAAAATAACCCGATACTTAATAAAAGACTTAATATAAGGCAATAAACTTGAATTAACTAGCTCAAACCTTTAAGTGCGCCCTGGTGCTGGATGAGCTGGTACCGCACGTTGGAAGCCGTGCTGATGTTAGTCACGGTGGCAGCTGCAGGCGCGATGCCCGGTGTGGATGACGGTGCAGGTCGTGGCCGATTCATAGCTCCAGCAGCAGCGGTCGGTAGAGGGTGGGTGCTGCTCGAGGGGACTTGACTGATGCTGCTAGGTTTGTTGGACTGTCGTACGTGCAGTCTGATTTTGCCGGGAGGACATCTGGCAACAAAGAAAACTATTAGTAAGTACGAGGTCGTTAAAAACCAAACCGTCCAATGGACAACTGCTCGTATATTCAAAATTACTAGCAGCAGTTACAAAAAATGATACCTATAGTAGACATAGAAAAATTAAACCATTTGCAATGGATTAGAAATTGTCAGTATTGTGCATATGTTTACTCGACCAGTAAATTATTCTTATTCAAAAGACTAGTGTAAAGCAGCTAAGTTGAAGCCAGCTATATGCATAAAATATATATCCTTGAGCCACCAGAGCCGCATGCCAGTTGAAGAGCGAACCAAACCATGACATTACCTGGGCGGGGGCAGGGGCGCGCTGTCGATGTCCACTATGACACGCTGAGGACATTGGAAGCGCCGCACACGGTGTGCGGCGAACGCAGTCAGTGTCAACTCGAGCGCACAAAGAAGCAGGTTCAGGCTGAACAGGTCCACGTGCTGTGAATGTTAATGCACAACGCATCATGAACACAACGAATAGGCTTCCGATTTTTTACATTCTAATTGTTAAAACAAGGCATCATTGAATCTGGATCTCAGTCTATTCATCAAAATTTAGGTCAGGCAACAGCATGTCAACTTTGGTTTCCTTTACTTTAACCCATTTAGTTTAGAGGTTATTTATTATTGGATTATTGCTTTTAGGCAACGCATAATGATAACATTTTACAGTTAAATTTGATGAAACGGTTAACCTTTCACTTTAAACTGTTATTAATACTTCTAGCTTGTTACTAGTAGTACGCTGGGATCGCATGGCATATTTTAGGTATTAATAGGATGTGCATTGACATAACATTCATATCAACTATATGGTCAATGGCTAGCAAAGCAGCTCACAAGTTAACATTGCTATTGTGACAGGAGCTTACAAGTTAGGAGCGTAATATACCCAAGTCCTGCTTCACAGAGCAAGGTATTTGCGACTATGGCGCGAGATCCATGCTCAGTTCTCAGAACAGCCGGCTTCTACTCTCTGGTTTCATCATATTTCTGCACTATAAACTGCACTCTGCCGTCACTTAAACTACATCATGACGCTAAATATCATCGCCCTTCACTGCACTCTGCCATCATTCTACCTGTACCATAACGCTAGATGTCATCATCATTCACGGCACTCTGCCATCACTCTACCTGCACCATAATGCTAAATGTCATCACCATTCACTGCACTCTGCCGTCACTCTACCTGCACCATGCATTTCGCTACATGCCGCCACCATTCATTGCACTCTTTCATCACTGACAGAACGCCGCAATCAGTGCAAGCGATGTGACGAGCACTCTGGAACACTGCCACAAGCAACGAGCAATTCTAATAGATTTCAAATGAGCAAAGACGAGCGTTGCAGGAATCCTCGAGTAAAATGATAGTAAATTATCTGGCAGATTACAACTTCAAAGAAGGCAGGTCTTACTTTAAAAGGATCGTAGGCAGCAATGCTCCAGCAACAGGACGGCGCTGAGATAGATAGAGGCTCCATCATGAAGGGCGAGACGGTGGGTCGCTCTTCAAACAAGTTGGGGTGGTTACAGACTTTACGCAGCTGCATCAGCACGTTGATAACACTCAGGAAATTTCCAGTGGCAAGAGTTTCTTTCGTCCTGAAATACGAACCCTAATTAGTCCGATTACAAATTCATTTTATTTTGTGAATGCTTTCAATTTTCAATAGGAGCAGGGAAAATTTTATTACTGATTACACATATATTCATGACGCGAAATATAGTCAGCACGTAATATAATCAAGTCAGCAGATTAATCATAGAACGGATAGTAAAACGTTAAGGAGAAAATTACTTGCACTAAAGATTGGATGGCAGATGTCTCCATTGTTGATCAATAGATCTTAGATGTTCAAATACTATAAAGAACCAACTGTAGTAAACTATTCATGGATTTGTTTAGATAAGAACTTACTTGGTACGCGACATGAACTCTTCATAAAGGAAGCGCTGGCGTTTGCTGAGGCGACACATGACGACGTGCTCGTATTTCTTAGGCATCTGTTGCTCAACTTCGCTCTTCAGTCGCCGCAGAATAAAGGGTCGCAACACCTACAGAAAAATTCTGGGTTAGTACAAGAAATGTAAAGAAATGAGGCATACTTGACCAGATTAAATGTTCATGCGGGAAATGTTCAGGAATAAGACCCAATTAGATCAGACGTTCATACAGGTAATGAACTGACAGAAGACCAACGATGTTCAACAATGACGGAATAGCCAAAAAACTACAATAAAACAATAAAATAAATATATGATGATAGATTAGACATATTATTTCAAAGGGCCACCAAGATTCAACATAAGAATTGAAGAGCCACAGGACCAGAAAAATCACCCCATGTTTCAGGCACAAAATACTGCTGCTGATTTCTACTAAATGTCTTGAGTAAAAAATCATCAGCTAAACGTAGCAACCATAAAAGCCTGTGGAATATAATAAATCGAATCCAAAATTTTTTTTGACAATAAAAAGAATGGAGGGATTAATCACGTACAAAGAGGAGTATTTGAAGAAAAACTAACCTTGTGGAGGCGTTTGATGATGTTATCATTGTACTCGCTGTTGCCTTGTATCATGCCTGACACGGGGTTACTGAACCATTCCCTGAACTCCCTGTGGCTGGCAAACACATGCGGCATCAGGAAGTGCATCAGCGACCACAGCTCCATCAGGTTGTTTTGCAGGGGTGTCCCGGTCAGCAGCAGACGCCTTCAATGGTTGTTAGCAAGTTCATTAAATCAAAGAATTTTCTATCATCAATACACTTCTTGTTGGCAATCTTATTCTTATTATAGCTTAACTGGATAAACAAATGGGTAACCTCAAGTTCCCAAGGCTATTAGATTTTATATGAAATATAAGCAGAAAAATTATTGCAACAAGTTATTACAACAGCGCACTACACGTCATTACTACACAGATAATATAGTTAAATAACATACAATTTAACACTGACCTGTCACTTTGAAAGTTGAGCAGCAGCTGCCAGCGCTTAGACTTAAAATTCTTAATATTTTGTGCTTCATCTAGGATGAAATATTTCCACTTCTTCCTTCTAAAACTTTGGTGATCCTGAATAACTAATTTATACGATGTAATACACACATGGAATGCATTAGGTTTGGTCCAACCTGCAAAAAAAAATCAGCATTCAAGGAAATGAGATTTCAAATCTCTGAACAAAATAAAATAGTTATCAATCACCAAAGCGCCATAGCTACCAAGTAGTGACTTGAAATTCAAGGATATTTTTTTAAAATATTTCAAGTCAGGCCCAGAAGAAAATAAATAATGATTTAAAAGAGGCGTAGTAAAACTAAAGCAAAATAAAAATAAGTCAGAGTAAAATTAATGTAGAACAAAATCGACATATTACTATTAAATAGTCAAGACGAAACTGTGCAAAATGCTTGGCTGGAAGCTACTCACCAGTTCTCTTCATCTTTCTCTCCTTCTGAGTGCCGAAGTAGGTGAGTATTTTGAAGGCAGGACACCACTTCTTGAGCTCCATCTCCCAGTTGAGCATGACTGAGGTGGGCACGACGATTAGGTGAGGGCCCCAGTTGCTGGTCTCGCACGCCAGATGAGCGAGCAGCGAAATCGTTTGGATTGTTTTACCCAAACCCATCTCGTCCGCAAGAATGCCTGCACATCAAAAACATGGAATGGAATCGCTACACATCAAGAGCACAACTGTGACATTGAGGCAACTCAATTTGAAGTTTGGTAGCTCATACAAAAACATTAAAATTAGTCAAGCCTCAAACGTAACATTTAGAAAAACAAGGTTTATCTGAACCAACACAAGTAGTGAAAACCTTCACTATAGGTAATAAGTTTATGGATGATGGTAACTCACCATTGAGATTTTTATCATACATGGTGACAAGCCAGTCCAATCCGACATGCTGGTACTCTCTGAGCGAGTGCTGTAGCAGGAACGGTACGGGCGTCGTGACCGCCGTGCTGCTGAGCGTGAAGCCTTTTGGCTGCAAGGCTTCAGCCACAGCCGTTGCCTGCTCCAGCTCCACGTCCGCTGCGTCCTCAGCTGCTTTGCTGTCTGTAAGTGCAAAATAAAATTATATGACAAGTGCCTATTGATCATTGCATGCCTGATAATATTAATCTCAGACAAAAGACGCCCATATGAAAAATCAAAGTAACCTCCTTACTGTTTGTCTATTGTTGGGTATATTTATCGCCTTAGCACGAGTCACAGCAAGACTTAGACAATAAGAAACATCCGGGTGTACGGTATTCCTAGCAGTCATTTCATTTCATCATTCCAAGACATTAATTTCATCACAATTGCAAGAACTTAGCTCCTCTGAATTTTCTTGTCATAGTAAGAATCCAAATTCAAATGGATTTAAAAAGTAGTCAACTCACCGCTGGGCAACGAGGTTTCCTCAAGCAGACTCTTGAGCCCAACGCCTTCATCGTCATCAGATTCACCATCCTCAGACCCGGTGAGGCCTTCATCATCACTATCACCTTCATCATCGACATCACTAGCAGTTGCAGGATCACCAGAGCAGGGTCGGGAAGCACCAGCTTCCGTGGAAGCGTCGTCCTCTTCTTCTTCATCATCTTCATCGTCTGAAGGAGGTGCTGAAGGCAGGGTAATGGAAGGAGAACCTGCATATTTGCGGCGCAGATCTTCCAATGAAAGATCATTGTCTGCCTGGAGGAGAGAATCAATTCAAATATAATTTCAAAATGCATTGCAACTCATTTTCTTCACGTATTTTTGAGTTGTACACATGTGTATATATATAAACTGAAAACTAGATTTGCATAATTAGTTATTAAAGAAACATCTGATATTCCACAGTAAGTTTAATTCTGAGAACAAAAATGTGAATAAGAAACCTGTAATTCTGCTATTTCCATATTATAGTCAGTCTGCCCCTCGTGTTGTTCCTGCTCAGCCAGTGTTTCCTCGTCATCCTCTTCATCTTTGGCAACATATTCCTGGTCATCCACGTCCATCGCCTGATCTTCCGCAACCTCGTCAGGTTTTATTGCTGCATCAACTTTAGTGGCTGTTTCTCCATCAGCAGCCTTGGGAGCCACATCCGCTGTATTTTCCTGATTTTCTTCCGAGACAATAGTAGATGCACTGTGCTTTCTTTTCCTGCCTGATCTTGTGAATGAGTGATCAGGAGCTGTGCTTGAAGAAACTGCAGCGTCATCAGGCTCTGAAGAACAGGAAGCCTTCGGACAGTCCTCTTGGTCGGCATTCTGCAACCAATAAGATGAAAAGCTTACTTTATACCACGGCTGAAACTCTTGTGCATTTAAAATCTTATAAACACTTTTTTACTAAATTGATGATAATAAAAGTTGACAAATATAGCAAATATTAATTTCTACTTAAATTTGATTCAATACGTACAAGACACGACATGACGGTAAGAAGCAAAATGGTTCAACAGAACAAATGGCACCAATAAAGTTAATTCAAGACTTACCTTTTTTCAAATAAAAAAGCCTTTTAAAAAATATTAAAGCATGGAATGTGGATGGTCGCTCTGACCTGCTCATCCTCAGACTGTTGGCCAGCCTGTGCTCTGAGAGAGGCGAGATATTCAGGTGGAAGGCTCGTCAGCAAGTCATCGATGGTCTGTCCACTCTCCTGCTGCAGCAACTGCACTTCAGCAGCTTGCTGGCTTGGGTCATCATCTTCCTGGGCGATCGTAGCCTCGTCGTCATCAGAATTACTCACAGGTTCAAACTCGTCATCTGATAAGCTACCAACAGAAGGAGTCTCAGAGCGAGTGGACAAAGCAGAAGAATCTGTAGGCCTCTTCATACTTTCTGCTAACATCCCAGAATATTTTTCAGTTTGATCTACAATGAATGATAGTTGCTGGTCCAAAGCTATCTTCTTTTTTTCGTCATGCTTGCTGGTGATCTTGTAATGGACAAGTTTTTCCACATTGCTCCAGAATGTTCTAACTTCACGAGCCATGAAGGCAGCAATTTTTCTTAACCGCATTTCCTCTTCTTTCTGAGCACGCTCTGCTGCCAGCTCCTTATCTTGAAAGTATTTAGTTACCATCTTTGCACACTTTTTGGCAGCAGCTTTCTTCCATTTTCGTTCTTGAGCAAAGTCAGCACTGAGCCACACCATCTCCTCAAGCAAATAATCCCAATGGCATTTTGGTCTTGCAGGTTCATGTACTTTAGGTAGTCGTTTTTCAGTCCACAAACCCTCTTTCCGGAGTTGGGCAATACGAGCAACAACATTAGCTTCATGACGAGCTTTTTCAACCATCTGATCTTGCTGATCATCCTTTTTAGTTAAGCTGCTTGCAGATAATTTGAACAAGGAGTCTTTGACCCTGGTATTGAGGTTTGTAGTGTCACCTTCTAGCCTGTGTTCTTTGTGATAAGCCAGAAGTTCAGGAGTAGGACGTTTCAACCAATTGTTAATATCCATGAGATTTCCGTCGTGATCCATAAAAAAATACTCTGTAATATGACCATTATAGGAGTCTCTAACGGCCTCCATTTTACCGCGCTTCCAACGAATGAGGGCTTGACACACCTCAGCAGAACTAGCAGGCTTGTTACCAAGTAAACAACCATCGTAGCGAGCCCTTTTTGCCGCGGGCTGGTGAGCACAAAACGATGGTGGTGGAGGTCGCCTTGCAGGTGGATCGGATATTGGGTTAGTAAAGCCAGGCGAGGATGACACAGCATCAGGAGAGTTTGGCTTCACAGAACTTGAAGGAAAGGGAGAAGACAATGAAGGGGAAGTTGCCGTGGCGTTCATGATTAGGTTGGATGGTTTTGACACTGAGGATATCACCAAGTTGCTGCCTGGCAACAAACTATCAACCTCCATCTCACCACCTCTTGATTCAGTGTCTTCATTGCCACTCTGAAAATAAAAACATGCGAACCACTCAATTCCAGCATTTCTTTCAAGGAATGCAAGAAATTCAAACAAAAAATTTAATTGAAAAATATATTGATATGCGAGTATATAGAGAAAACAGGCATTATTTGAATCATTGCTGAAATATGAATGTTACATTTGGTTAATTCCATATTCTTTTTCACACACCCTCATTGATAATTAAAAAATTTTAGGTTAGTTTTACCGAGGTGTCAGGATTAGGGACTAGAATATCTCATTATAACTCACATTTTCAAAATAAAGTGAACAGGAAACTTTAGACAGCCTTGTGTACACCAATGACTCTATGACTAAAGTCTCTTTCAGTTTCACACTTGAATCACACCATCAAGGCAGAGGACAGCACACTCAGAAGAGACAAGAAAAAAGTAGGTACATAATTACTCACAGCATTTTGAAGAGGTAATGATGTGAGAGTAGCAGAGGAGCTGCCACTCATCACAAACTAGCAGAGACACAGAAGAAACCTGACAAGATCCTCCTCTGTGGTCACCTATACCTGCAAACAAATTTCAAAATATTAGTAAACTTTTTTCAATAATAAAAGCCTTTACAGATACACTGGTGAAACAGTAGTTTTTGTGTATAAGTAGTATCACAACTTTGTTAGTCTATATGCATTGCTGTTTATTTTGTTACTCGTTTTATATGCTAGTAATAATCCTGGAATCAAGTTCAACCCGGGAGTATAGGTACATGTGTACTTCATTGACATTACTTCAGCTTCATAATTTCTACCTTTCCTCATGAGACTTGCCCTTAATGACCAGAATCCTCATGTTTGCCACCTCAGAACATTCTACCAATTATTGTCTTGACCACAAAATACTTTAAAATTACAGGTGCAAATGCAACAAACCGTTTTATAGATTCTGCACTTGAATATTAGTGAGAGTGTATAATGTTGGAGCTATGTATAGATTTGCTTCATAACCTTAGGACACATTTACACAATATGGTTTTAAAATTTCAAATCCCCATCAATATAAACTAATTTTACTAACTAACAACATAGTGATTGTGACAAATTTTTATTGTTAAGATAACTATTATCAATGGAATACATTTGCAATATGAAGCATTTGTTTCTAATAACTTTTCACATCTATTTCTCTTCTTCTCATTTCAAGTAAAGAATTTTTTCTGATGATTTTTCAACATATAATAATTGTAGTGTGAACTACCGTCAAATGGGGTAATAAGGGACGGGTGGGGTAATAAGGGATGGGCGGGGTAATTTGGGATGTGCGTTCCACATTTTGTAGAAATGATGTAGCAGCTAAACTAATCAAAATATTGCAAAACTAAAAATAGTGGCAGAAACTTCAACATTTTTACTATATATTACCGTCAAGCAGGGTAAAAAGGGACAGTTTTGACCGTTTTTTGTTAATAACTTCTTACCATGAAACATTTCACAAACAATTTAAGGCTCATTTTATAGCTCAGTGCGAGGGCTATTGAATGGCATCTTCAAAAAAAATTCCATATGCTATTTGTAAGGTGCTAGACACAATATAAAAGGCTCCTGAATTTATCTGGAAATGGGTAAAAAGGGACACTTGAAATAAAACTCAATTATAAACGTTTGAAGAGTGCAGAGTGTACTCACCTATTACCAGCAGTACTCCAAAGTCCTCCTCTTCCTTTTATATGTAACGTAACAACAAGGAGCTCAACAAGCTTCTTTAGGAAGTGACCATTGCATTGAGTGACCAGGATGTTAGGAGTTCTGCCTAACATCCAGGCTGTTCTGCTCCCCAAGAAGATTTTATTTACATTTTACTTCATATTTTTGCTTAAATTTAAAATTTAAGCAAAAATCTTTGTGATTAACCCATGTTTATCTTAACTGTGGCCTTCCCTAAAAGAGGATCTGCTGTAAATGTGTTTTAGGGTGGTCCCTAATTAAAATGGTGTGAAATTACAAGCCGTCCTGTAAGCTTACAGATACAGAAGAAATGCTATATGGCTGTTGATATGAAACATGCAGAGGATAAGGTGATTGTAAATGCTCAATGGCATGTTTATGGATACAGTAATTTCACATCAATAATACGGTAATGAATGAATATGGTGATATCACATCAATAAAGTATGAACAAGTAAAAAACACAGAAAATGTCATTTATTCTACTCTCTACAATGAAAGAGGAGGACTTCAGAGTACTGTTAGTAATCGAGTACACTCTGCATGCTTCAGACATTTTAAAATTGAGTTTTATTCCGAGTGTCCTGGATTACCCCGTTCGCAGGGGTAATTTGGGACTGTTTTATTTTCTGACTGGCACCTTACAAATAGCATATGGAATTTTTTTTTAGATGCCATTCGACAGCCCTCGCAAAGAGCAATAAAATGAGCCTAAACTTGTTTATGAAATTTTCTTGGTAAAAAGTTATTAACAAAAAAACGCTTAAAATTTAACAAAAAACACTCCTATATTACCCCATTTGATGGTATTGATTTCATTCAAGAAAGAAGCTGGAAACAATAAGGAAGATAAGAGGATGGAAACATTACAAATTTATACATTCATTCATTGCAATCAAACCTTATGACAAAGTTTTGGAATTTTTGGTCTATACATTTATTAATTGGTGCCATGGAGAGAATTAATTATAGGCATTGAAATTTTCTATCTATCAGATTTTCACATCCGAACGACTTTATAGGCTGAATCAAGATAGTAAATTTATATTAACTGGACATTCTAATTACAGCAATCCCTTGATTAACGCGGTTAATAAATCCCCGAGTTTTACCGTGTTAAGCAAAACCGCGCTAATCAAACTTAAGAATATATGGGAATAATTATAATGAATCCTCAAAAATAGCAAAGGAAAGGAAAATTATGTAGTTTGATAAAAGTGAGCAGTAGATATGGCAGCGATCTTGACCAGTTGAAGGCTAACGAGTAACTAGCCCTTTACGCACTGAATTATGTTTCAAAAGTGAAAAAACAATCTGAATTACTTTTCAGATCACGCGCAGTCTTTGTGTTGTACTGGCAGTAGCAGCGCGCCTACTCCATCGAACGTTGTTCGAACGAGTTCACAACATGTGACGCTACCGACACACTCGCGGCTAGACTCCAAACATGTAATTACTCTCGGTAGAAGCTTTTATTTTCTGTGTGACGAATTCGTCACACCAGGGCTTAAAGGGCTAGAGCACGGGCATGGCGCACTTACCGGCGAACGTTGCCGAACTCGATCATTCGAGTTATGAACGAGACAAGGCGCGGTTAAACCGACTCTGTAGTCAGCACGAGTGCCTACGGAACGGGACCTTATTTAAAGAATTATTGGCTGAAATTCATAAAGTAACAAACATTTGGCGAATTTTTCCAAAAGTCGTAACATAAGTAACAACATAAGATCTAATAAGCAAAAAGTAACACTTTTGTTACGAACGTAACACCTCTGGCTAGAGGCGGGAAAATGATGTTGTGAAAAAAAAGTCGCGCTAATCAAAACTGGCACCGCGTAGATTAAGGGTAGGTCGCAAATTTTTTTTTCTGCGTTAATCAAAACCGCGGTATTCAAAACCGTGCTAATCAAGGGATTGCTGTAGTCAGATTTAGCAAGTTGTTCACCAACCCATTAATGCCAAGAATTAATTCTAGACTTTCTTCTTGTTCTCTTTAAAATATTGTCACTTGTGGTGTTAATTAACCAAAAATATGTTCAAATGTTTATTTTTTTCTTATGTGCTTTGTTCCATATGGAACTCATTGGCATTAGCATAACAAATATTGGAAATTTACTGATTTCATATAATAACACTCTTTCTGAGAGTAAATAATGAATGAAGGTGTGCATAATGGACAATATGTAACTGCTGATGAAAATCATAAATAAATGGACTAGAATATATTCTAATGAAATGCTTTCATTCATTCAGAATGAATAGGAAGTTTGTGCACACTACAAATGTGATAGATGCATTGTCTACAGTGTTTGCATCTGCAGTGAATTCTGATTGCCCTTTGCTGGCCAATGTTAGGGATTGTTATATTACACTTCATCAGTAATCAGAGTAGAAGCCTGCAATATGGAACCTAAATGTTCAGGGCTTCCTGGAGTAAGGGCTTTTCCTAATAAATAACATTCAACACAGCACCAGTGGGCAGGCAGTTTTCAGTTCACATATTTACCCAATAGAATTTTACTGGCCCACGCAGCCCGGCAGCCGTGCTATGACACTAAGGCAAAATTTGGAAATAAATTCTCCTCATGAATATTGTAGCTCAAATAAAAAAATTGGATAAAACCAGCCACAATTGAGACAAAAATGTCCTGATTGCAGACAATTTTATCCCTTCCTAATTATTCTGTCTCAGTGTCTCTTCAGTAAAAATTATGCAAAAAAAGAAAACATTTTGCACATTATTTTCAAACATCACCATTAAATGGTTATTTTGAATCCTAATGCAAAGTGGCAAACCAGAGGTTTATAATAAATTCATTTCTAATTTCATCTAGGTACTCAATATTTTAAACAATTTCTGATGTATGATTATACTGGTAGCCAAGATTAGATACCTACAGTAACCTACTTACTAATCTTTTTTATACTATATACTAATATATAGGAATCAAAAATAACCTTGACTTGATGAATGGCTTGAATGGCAACAAAAAATGTTCTCCATATGCCATAGCCAGTTAGCCACTGTGCCCTAATTTAGTTAAACTAAATTTTTAATTCTACAAATTTTCAGCACTGCTGTATTATGTATAGATTTATTTACTGTGTTAATGTATAATGGTTATTAGTATACATTTTCACCCCAGCAAAATGGCCTGCACCATCTTCCTAAATAAAATAGGTATATCTTCAATTATAAATACTCAAAATGTTAATTCCATAAAGATGTACAATATAAAAATCAGAGTCAAAAATAGTAAGAGATCATGAATGAAGTTAAAATCTTAAGGACAGAAAATCAATCCGTGATCGTGATGCCGTTGGAACTTGGAAGTGATTCATTTTAATTAGGTAATCAAGTAAATCAATCTGTCATAGCAAAATTTTGGGCAGTGAGCACAAAAAAAATTAAAAACTATGAGGAGTGTTAAATTATTTTGAAAGCATTGATCATATTTCAGGTAAACAATAAACAGCTATCCACCTAGAGGCTATAATCCTCCACTAAAAAACCGGTATTTTACACCGGTACGCGTGCGGCATGAATTGTCATTGCATTTCGATGGACAACACATATTGCAGATGTCAACACTCATACAACCTAACGACAATGCTTGCATAAAGTTTCCGCATTCATTCATCACACTTTGAAAAATAATAAAGTGGCAAAAATAGGTAAAAAGCGAGAAAAATATTCTCCGTCAGAAGCATCATTCTCAGCATTCGCCGCCATCTTGGAACTAACAATGGCGGTGACCTTACAACTAGTACATCTTTCACTTTTTTCATGTACTTATCTTCAATAATTTCGAATAAAAGTGTTATTTTAGTATATATTGGAATACTCACAAACTTTTAATTACCGTGAGCAGGAAGAGAAATCCATTCCACGGGTAAAATTATCGTGATAACTTGGAACGACTCAATACACACCCTCTTAGATCATGGCATCCATGTTTGATCTCTGACGTCACGCATCTTCACACTTTCTCTAATAATCTCTCAGAAAAATACTGAGCACAAACTATCGAATGACGATCTTCGACACAAGATAATGATAAAATCTGAAACTTCATGTATTTTCTAAACTTGGCCTTCACCACAGCAGCTGAATAATATTAGCTACAATTTCCTTATTCTGTAAAGGACCATTTTTATCCGTTGGGTGGATACCCAGTACATGACTGGCAGGTACCACCGTAAATCCCACAAACCAACATTTCCATTTTGATCTAAATTAATAAATAAATTATATTTATCATGTATTTTAAACAAAGCCTGAAAATAACCTTAGGGTCGTCTCGAAACGTGCATCGTCAGTAATTCAAATTGACACGTTTTAACAGATTTGGGGATATCCGAGGCTCTGGCCAACCGGCAGTCCGAGCTGGGACCTTTTCTCGGTTGCAGGCTGCAGCAAAAGCAGATAATCAGTGTGACTCTTGCCTTGTCAGGTGAAGGTGAGGTGTTACTGAGTACCGGTGGTGTTTATCGTGGTGCAACTCGACATGGATAATTTAAATTGCTTAATATTTGTAGATTCACTGAAGTGATTATTGAAGCTTTATTAGTCAAATTAAAATGTTAGCATGTGAAGAAAATGTTTACCTTTGTTACTTCCACAGCTATTATTCTGAAACCCATCAAATTGAAGGAAATTCCTCTTGATCGTGCAAAGACTAGAGATGTTTGCACCGTTCCGTTGTGAATTGAGGAGTGGGGATTGGTTGCAGCCTTGCAGGAGCAGAGCAGCTAGACGTGATTTTAAATCAGTTATTTTATCATAAAAACTCTGCATGCAACAATAACTACCGATAGTAGGAACAGTGCAAAGCTTTGAAGCTCTGGCTACACCTGGGCGTAAAACTTTCGTTTCCACTCCGAAGTTCCCTATATTCCCGGACCAGCAGACTCTATTTTTGGCTGTTCGCCGTATGTGTAAGAAAATATCGCGCATAAGGAACATTCTCTCCGCTCAAAAGAAATAATTCAAGCAAACTTAAGAGTAAATTATTATGAGTAAAATCCCTCACGACTGCTCCCGAATCAAGATCGAGAGTTTTTATCATGGCTCACCATTTACTGTGACCAGAATTCCCACGCTCATTCATTTCGACAGTTTATAATCAAAAACTTAAGTTCCTGATCAAAAGAAAATCCAAAGTTAGCACCGAACATCCATTTAATTGATGTGTTTTTAAGCATAAGTGAACCTTGATTTTTTAAATTTGCAGAAAATTCAACTTTTCACTAACCATAATTATAATTTTTTCAGTCAACTCTCCCGCCTCCATTTCTTCAAGGTCTCTTGATTACACTAGTAAGAAAAAAATAGATCCAGATGATTTCCGTCAATTCCGTGTATGATAGTATATTCGATCTGAACAACCCTTATATATGTTTGGTATCATACTTCAGACCCGAAAATAGAAACTCATTTCATAAACACATAATAGATTATTTACCGGTCTCCGCCCCATAAAATTATTTTGGAATCGTGTTAACTCAGCTTTCCAATACATCATTGATCATAATTTCCATTTAAGCATGCGTATTGATAAGAATTTTTTTCTTTCCTTTCAGTGAACTGAAATTGTGATTTGTATAATTTTTAGAAATGACTGACTAATTAATTCGTCATCTCACAACTAATTAACGAGAATCCAGGCTGTGAGTAGCAGGAATACAAGACATCAAGTCAAGGCATAAATAGGAAGCTTCAACTCTATCTGGGTTAATTAGTCCATAACGCGTGTGTCATGGAAAAGGTTTGTGCGGACTCGATATATGGTTTGGTGTGCATGCAGCGTCGCTGGTGGTTCTCCACCACGAGGTGGCAGTGGCAGCGAATTGCTTCATTTTCGTCTCGTTCTTCAGCTCAAAAATTGCGTACGAATTTGACCGAGTCTGATGAAAATTCGTATTCTCTGAAAAATAAGTCAGCAAAGAAGATAGGATCAAGAGGGCTGTACTTATTTTCAACTGACGCTGAACTAGAAAATCTTTCTAGAAATGGATTCTGTGAAAATAACGTTCACTCTTCTATGGTATACGAAGCTACTTTAATTAAACTCCCGTCTATACGTCAGAATAAATTTAATCTATTTCACGAGGACATAGTACATACCTCTAACTCAACTGCTACAAGAAACGACGTTGCAAGTTTTCCAATGCTGTCTCAAATATCTTCATATCGTGGACGATCGTTGCTTCATAGGCATACCTTTACCAATTCCAGCGAACTCAACGTTCGTTCGTTAACTTCTTACTACACTCGCTTACAAATGCATACTCTTACTCATTCTATCAGAAGCGTACAAATGAGTTCGCTAACTCCTGTGCATATAAGTGGACAATCTCGTTCGCTTTCTCATTTATGTAAGTGCGTACGAAATAAATTATGTAATGGCACTGCCACTGCCACCCGAGCATCTCTCCTTCAGTCGTCGCATGGCCAGCCCCGTAATGTGCTCCTACAGAGTCGCTTGTCGCATCCCTTCTCTTCTTCTCGTAGAACGATCTATGTTACATCTGTAAGTTCTATTCTGTTGAATATTATTTGATTTTTTTATAACGATTTATTTATGTTTTTAGGAGGCTTTATACCACGATTTTTTGTGTAAGATAAGGCCTTGATTGAATATATTTAGTTTGTTTTTGTCTTTCGTTCAGTTTGATATTAATTTGTTATTTTTTTGGGCTGTGAAATAATCCCGGAAATGTGTTTATTGTTGTTCATAACAGGTTTACTGACGCAGCCGTTGAGCTTCCTGCTTTTGAAAAATAAAAAGCCGTATGTTAATTGTTATCATTTTATAAACGGTAGATTTTTTATCGCGGTATTGTTACCATGGTATACATCAGTGGTTCCCAAAGTGGGCGATATCGCCCCCCTAGGGGCGGTGGAAAGATTTTGGGGGGCGGTAAGGAAGAAGAGGGCGTTTGGGGGGCGATAGGGGGGCGGCAGCCCGAAGTCGAAGTCAGAAGTTCGAACGTTTGTTTGACGATTTGTACACAACCACAACACGTGCAGCACATCATGACTCCCAGCGATGGTTTTTTCACCCAGATCTGTTTTTTAACCTCTCCTGGGTTTACGTCTTGGACAAATTAACGGCCGACTCGCGGCCGGTCTCACGGCCAATTTCCAATTCAATGTTCAAGTAATATCTCTCGAACTAATGAACTTAACTCGATGAAATTTGGTACACGGATTCATTAGTACCTAACGGTAATGTTAAGCTTGTGAATTTTTTTTAATATTGCCTTCATTTGTTTTTGCCATAGTTATATGGCAATACGGGCTGAAATTTACAGTACCGGGTAATCAAGAAATTTGTTCCAAACTATTGAGCAGATTCGGACGAAATTTTGAATTTACAGTCCTAACTACCGAACGTTGTTTAGCTCATGAAAATTTATTCGATTGTGCCTTTGTTCGCGAGTTTTTTTCCATTTCACCTTCATTCGTGATTTAAATAGCAATACGTGCTTAAATTTGCAGTAATCAAGAAATTCCTCCTAAAACTACTGAATGGATTTGAACGAAACTTAGTATTTAAATACCTAACCTCAGCAACGGTGATGTTTAGCTCGCTACAATTTTTTCGTTTTGCCTTCGTTTGCGAGTTATACAGTTATACGTATACGGATATACGTAAACGGCTCTTAATTGGTTAAACCGACCGGTAGAAAAACCGGTCGTTCCACCTATATCTCTATAACTCCCGAACGAAAGCAAAATAGAAAAATTGTCACGAGCTAAACATCACCGTTGAGAGGTTAGGTAATTATATACAAAGTTTTGGTGAAATCTATTCTGTAGTTTAGAAGAAAATTTTTGATCGCCGCGAATTTAAGTGACAAATTACCCGGCGATATACGGGCTGAATATAAGGAAGTGTGAAGTCAAGAATGACTGTGAAATGAAAAAAAAATTCGCAAAGGAAGCCCCAAAAAATCAACGCTTTGTAGTTAGGAATGTATATTCAAAATTTCGTTCAAATCTGTTCAGTAGTTTGGAAGAAATTCTTTGATCACTGCGAATTTCGGCCTTTATCGCAATATATATAACTCGTGAATGAAGGTAAGTTTTATAAATTTTTACAATCTAAAAATCAACGTTAGGTTCTGATGAATATATGTTCCAAGTTTCCTTGAGCTGCGTTCATTAGTTTGGGATATATTACTTAATAATTGAATTTGGAGATTGGTCGTGCGACTGGCCACGAGTCCGGCCGTGAATTTGCCATAGACGTCCTAGGTTTTTAGTGCTGAAGCAGTTAAAACAGCTTAAAAACATATTGGTTCATTAAATGGGGTTCTATTTGTGAAATACACTTGTGTGTTTAACATTTATCTATTAAAATTGCAGCGTACTAAATTACAACAAAGAGGTTTTTTTTATATGTGTCTGTGGGGGGGCGCTAGAAGTTCACTAGGGAGCCAAAGGGGGCGCCAGCCTGAAAAAGTTTGGGAACCACTGGTATACATGATATTGTAATAGCGGTTTGTGACCATGGTATACAATATACATGATATTGTTATCACGGTATTGTTACCATGGTATACATGATATTGTTATCATGTTATTTCGACCTTCTCCCGCGCTTAACGCAGTGCGTTATCAATGAAGGAGTGGCAATTTTGACCGATTAATTCTGATGAAAGTTTGCGTTGTTGGTCTCATATTCGTCATTTATCATGGTCATCGTATATATACCATGAGCATTATTCAATATGATCATAATTAATCAACCTCATCATTCGTCTCTGCATCTCTAATAATCGTTTGTCTTATCATTTTATCCATAAAAAAGCCTTATAGTTGGAAAACAAGCTAACAGTGCGAGGTACGGTCTAGAAGGCAAGAACTTTTTATGACCCGTGAGCATTAAGAAAATTTTATTATCATCAGCTTATTTTGACAATTTTAATACATACTTTTTTAATATAAATAATATATAATATAATATTTCGCCATGTCCGTCTGTCTGTCCGTCCGTGGCTTCACGTTTTCGTCGACGAGAAAATGCGCTCTCTGTCACTCACTGCAGTGAGTACTGAGTTATATTTTTTATTCTCTCTTCCATTGTTTCGTTGCTTATTTTATTTATTGTGATTTTCCGCCTAATCGCACCGGATCCTTTTTGCAAGTAGGGTTTTGGCTTTAAAAATACTAAATGAAAGTGTGAATAAACCTTGCATGAATCCTGTGTGATGAATCTGAATGCCATAGCTTTCCTGAACTGTGAGTGTAGATTGTACAGTAGCTAGAAACAGAGTAATTGTAGAGACAGTTCTTTCTGAAAAACTTTATTATTCTAATGTATTTGGCACATTAATTTATTGGGGAACATTGTCAGAAGTTTCGGTAATATCATTTATAACGCATTTGGTGGCTATCGAAACTTACGTGCACTCAGGATGTTATCCGATTCGAATGTTAAGAATCTACATTGTTTTTGGCGAGAAAATTGTATTTTATCATTGATGAACCATTTTGGTCAAGAGAAATTACCGTTTTAAATCTGCATAATTTTTTCTATTATTTTATTCCATTGCGAGACTAATTTGTTTTCGAATTGTTTTGATAATACAAAGAAATAATTGTTTAGTACATGCTTAATCATTATGATCCATCGCATGCGTGTACGTGTCTTGTTAATTCCCATCAGTTGCTGGGGTGTGGTTATGTGATGCTCTTACTTTAAGTCAAGGGTACCTATATTTGTCTAATACATTTCCATTTGTTATCCGTCCACACTGATGAAACCCGTCCACACTGATGAAACTCGATTTATTTGTTCTAAGCTTGCGTCGCGGCGTCATCCAATAAGTCCCACAAGTTCATTTTTACGATACCATTCTGAAAATATTTGCCACTTGTATTTTCTCTAATGCGTTGACCAAGACCGCGCGTCTGCAGTACGTCCGTAAAATACTCGTACGTTGCTTCTGAAATGTCCCATTTTTGATTATGGTCAATGCCATGAAATATGGAGCCAAAGCTACAGTCCGTTTTTATGATCGGTCAGGTTTTTTGTTCCATATCATTGACTAGCTCAAGTTGACGCGTCCAGCGTCTGGGCCATTTTTATTTTCCTTTAATAATTTTTCGTTGCGGCTCATTCCAGCATTTTCAGGTTCCCTCCGCCATTCTGGCTGCGATTTGTGCCTTCTGTTTTTTAATTCGCACTTGCCAATTCCTAACTTTTTAAAGCTTGCCAGATCATGTCAACAATAGCTAGTTTTTTTGGCATCATGCATCCGTTTTTTTTTTTTTATTATTTTTCAAAGTTTTACGCGCGGGCAAATTTACAACTTTCTTTTCCCTGAGATGAAGTGATGATTTTCTTCGCTGTGATTATTTTTTAACTAACCAAATGACATGTTTCTGGTTATTATGAACCGAAAATTTTCCGACTTACAACCCTTAAAATGTTTTTTTCATGTTTGAGCAAACTATTTATTGAAATTTGAGAGCGGACTGTAATTTAATATTTAATTCATAATCGATAATTTCTATTATTTATGTTATAATTATTTTTATTACATTGAACAATCGTAATAGCAAAATATAACGTTTGTGAAGTTGTATATTTTTCGTGGTGTATATACATTATACAGTAGCGGCCTTGTTCCCTTTTGATTTTCATATCGTGTTAAGTTTTATCGTTGTCAAAGTGTGTTAATGATTTACTCGTGCATTCTCTGATCATCTTTTTTAATGAACCAGTTTCTTTCTACTACCTCATCACATACATTTATATTGTAATATAAAATTTGTTTTCCTGCTCTAAAATTCCTAATATTTGTTTGCCGATTTTTAAATAATTTGCGTTATTTCTGACGAATCTGATGATTGTTATACTGGATTTTCTGCAGGCAAAATACGACCCTGCGTGGCGCGACAGCATGTGCATCTCCTTAGACACGGAGGACAGGTCAGTGGTCAACCACACCTATACGTACAGTCGTACACATATAATACTTATACCTATATACCTATAATCGTACACCTATATACGTACACCTACGTATATACATATACCTATATACCTACACCTATATACATATATACGTATATACAGTCTGTCATGCCCTAGGCAACATAATCTGGCTTTCTGACAGCTCCTTTGTGTTTTTTTGGCCTTTTTTTCTTCGATTTTCTGCCAGTTGCTTGTTGGAATACTCCCGATTTTTTTATATTTTTATGATAGTGAGTTGGTGTCGTTCTGTCTATTTTTGCTGGTTATTTACCATATTTATATAAACTATCTATCTACCAGTTAATTTGTGGTATTCTGCCACCCCTTTGTTTTTTTGCCATTTCGCTGGCTTTAAAGTTTTTTGTTGATTTCAGCAAGTTCGCTGGTGGTTTTTATCAGTTTTTTATTTGTATATATCATTATTTTTGGCATTTTTCTGGCAGTTTTGACAGAAAAATGAGTTTGAGTGCTAAGGATAAAAAATTATTGATCTGAAACGCTGTAGGATATTTTTAATTTCCACTGCTGATTTCTGATCAGTAGAGTTCAATTATTATAGTTACTATTAGTTAAGTTCGACTCTGATGAAAATTGTAGATTGGTGTTAAATGAATTTGATGTTATCCTTTTAATGTATTGAATATTATTGAAAGAACAGCGAGCTGTAGAAAGGATTTATTTTTATCTATCTGAATTCACTCATTCATAGAGCATCAATGTTAATTTTACTTAATTTTGATCGATTAATTCAGTATCACGCTTTTAATATAAGAAAATATCCAAGAAAGAAAATATATTTTGCCATATCTACTTATGTGTGTAAAAAATCTATCTATAACCCATAATGGAAGCATGCTTATATTATAAGAGTATCAACATTTTTGGTAGTAATAGCCAGTTGACTGAAAATAACGAACGGTATAAATATCTATCTACAACGAAGTCTCGTTCGTTCTCTGCGTGGGCCTAGTCTACACATATATACGGGGTATACCCAATATACTGATCGCTGTGATTACGGGAGGCATGACGCAGGTGGTCGATGGGTTCGTTTAAAACGAATTGTGCGTGACTCTGCATCATCTTGTCTGCATGGTATGCGTGAATACATTGTAATGTATGCGTGAATACATTGTAATGTATGCGTGAATACATTGTAATGTATGCGTGAATACATTGCAGCGTTTTTCATGTCTCCGCAAGAAATGAAATACTTCAATCTAAACAGATCATTTTTTCACACATGATATACCACTTGCTCCCATCAGTATGTATTATTGCGCAATGTTATCGCGTTTCTGCTTCAATCTTGTCTGACCCAATCTTGGAATTGCACTACAACTCGATGCAGCACTCGAACACAAACTCGCTTATTTCTTAGCCCTTTCTTTCGTGTAGCTTTTCACTTCCTTATCTCTACCTTAACTTATCAAAAAATAATATTGCTTACTATTTTAAGCTCGATAGTACGAGCATTTCCACACCTTGTACGCCTACGCCATGACGCGTGAGCGGCATCGAGTATCGCTCCTTCACTTATCAGTTGACGTCATCAGTGTTTAGTATTGCAAGTACCAGCGATCTTTTACACAAGCTACAATTACGCAGCCTGAAAACCCATCGACTTCGTGCCCATAAAACGCGTTAATAAAGCCAATACATTGTTTTTTGTTCGATGCTTTAGTCGATTTACTTCATCCATTGTATCGATAATTGTAATTTTGAGATCAATCTCTAATTGGCGTGCGAATTGTCCAAATCAGTTTTATCAGGATTGTTTTCTTACATTTATGCGATGCTTTAGTCGATTTACTTCATCCATTGTATCGATAATTATAATTTTGTGATCAATCACTAATTGTCGTACGAATTGTCTAAAACAATTTCATCAGGATTGTTTTCTTACGGTAGTTTTTAAGTAAGAAATTAAGTTTAGAAGTTATTCATTGCCCTTGTGGTGCATTGCCAGCCACGTTAGTCACCCCCACAACGCTGTGCCTCACGTGGTCGTTGTTGCGTCTCACGGGCTGAAGTGTGCCACGTATTTCTGGCACCTGTGCCAAGGTTGATGCAAGACGCGCGTGCCAACAAGGTCAACATGACTGATCATTGTTTGTGGCTGCTGTGTTTGTGGCTGCTGTGTTTATGGCTGCTGTGTTTATGGCTGCTGTGTTTGTGGCTGCTGTGTTTATGGCTGCTGTGTTTGTGGCTGCTGTGTTTGTGGCTGCTGTGTTTGTGGCTGCTGTGTTTGTGTGGCCGATGAGTTTGTGTGGCCGATGAGTTTGTGTGGCCGCTGAGTTTGTGTGGCCGCTGAGTTTGTGTGGCCGCTGAGTTTGTGTGGCCGCTGCGTTTGTGTGGCCGCTGAGTTTGTGTGGCTGCTGAGTTTGTGTGGCCGCTGAGTTTGTGTGGCCGCTGAGTTTGTGTGGCCGCTGCGTTTGTGTGGCCGCTGAGTTTGTGTGGCCGCTGAGTTTGTGTGACATCTGCGTTTTTGTGGCCGCAGCGTTTGTGTAGCCGCTGAGTTTGTGTGGCCGCTGCGTTTGCGTGGCCGCTGCGTTTGTGTGGCCGCTGCGTTTGTGTGGCCGCTGCGTTTGTGTGGCCGCTGCGTTTGTATGGCCACTGCGTTTGTGTGGCATCTGTGTTTGTGTGGCCGCTGCGCAAGTTGTGCAATGTACCAGCTTCCGCTGCTGTCTTCTCAACGCCAATTCCCCGTTGCCATCAATTCACGAGATAACCTGCCCTTTTCAGCTGTCAATAGTATAACAAGCTATTTTAAGAGATTAAATACACTAAATTCTTGTATATTCGAATCATGTTGGTGCGTAAAATTGTTGGTCTTAAAGCCATGGCGTTATCAAATGCTACCGGATACGTCAGGCTGCTGGTAGCAAAGAATGCCCAAGGTCAAGTTATTTTAATGAAGATTCTCTGGTTTAGTCTTGACGGATTTTTTAGAGTTTAATACGTAATACCAGGCACATTCATACCTGACTAGCATCTCTTACAGCCGTTAGAATCAGTGGCAAAACCGCAAGACCGTAAGCAATGGCGCGCATTTTTATTTTACGTTAATTGATTATACTGGTCACATTTAGTTGTGTAACAAATGGGCTACTTATTATACTTTTCAGATTAAATGCTCGAGGAATCTCAATCGGTTATAAAAAATGACCTTCGGCTGATAAATTAAAATTTCATTATGCGAACATAATTTATTTTTCATAAAATCCATCAGTTCAAAATATAAGAATTCATCGCGAAACTATTTTATTTTCTTATAAACATTCTAAGCGTCTCACATACACGAGCATTCTACATTTGGTATGGTTTTTCCATTAATGGCAAAACACGCGTTCAACTCATCAAATACATACGGCATAAACATTTATATAACAATATACCGATTTTTTAAACACAACTTCTATTGTTATTTGCTTTGTCCACTTTTGAAAATTACTTTAATTGTTGTCTCTTAATTATGTAAATGCTTAATCGCGGACCATAATTTCCTTTACTGCCTGAGTTGAATTTTACTTTATTCGCTGTTTTTCTTTTGTTGACACGACAGTGAAAAAGTTGCGTGTTGGGCGTGCACAACGCAATGTCCAGCGCCTGCAGTGGTCATTAAAGTAATCACTGTTCGTTAAAGTAATCACTGATCATTAAAGTAATCACTGTTCGTTAAAGTAATCACTGTTCGGTAAAGTAATCACTGTTCGGTAAAGTAATCACTGTTCGGTAAAGTAATCACTGCTCGGTAAAGTAATCACTGTTCGTTAAAGTAATCACTGTTCGTTAAAGCAATCACTGTTCGTTAAAGTAATCACTGTTCGTTAAAGTAATCACTGTTCGATAAAGTAATCTTTATTCGCCTGAAGTAATCGGTGTTAATATATTAGTCGGCGTGTATATCCTCCAACCAGTCAATGACGAGGATCCGATACATTTTTTCTGTATATCTTTTGGAGTTACTTTCACCACTGAAAATTGTTATAGTCGCAGCAATTATAGACAAGGCTCTCCGAGAGAGCTAGAATTTTTAAGAGCTTAAGAGAGAGAGCTTAAGCTCATGTTTATATATTTTTTTATATATCGCTGCAGGGCCGCAGTTGCGTCTCAATCTTTCTCCTAGAGGCAGTATGATGTTACTTCACACTTATTACATTGTTATGCATTAATTAGAGCAGCGCACGTCGACACAACAAATGAAAAAGAATTGACAAAGTTGTTAGGAAATTTCATCCAACGCTTGCGTGCCTACCATGCCCATGTTTATTCACTTGTTAAAAATTTTCTTAAAAGTCTCATTGATCTCGTTATATTTTGTTAAATTCATTGTTTCTGGGGCGATTTATTGAATTTGTGCCTAAATTTGGTCTGAGTAATTCAAATGCTTTGGCTGATAATGAATAATATAGACAAATCCCAGAGGATGTGTCCAATTTAGAAAAAATAGTGACAGAGAGCGGATTTTCTCTTCGACGAAAACGTGAAGTCACGGACGGACAGACAGACGGACGGACATGGCGAGCACAATAGCGCCTTTTTTCCATAAATGAGAAAATGCGCTAAAAAATATAACTCAGTACTCACTGCAGTGAGTGACAGAGAGCGCATTTTCTCGTCCGTCCGTCCGTGAAGTCACGGACGGACGGACATGGCGAGCACAATAGCGCCTTTTTCCATAAATGAGAAAATGCGCTAAAAAGAGGGAATCCGTCTGACCTAGGACGAGAGCAGGGAATGTGAAGATCGAGAAGAGCTGCGCTGCTGGGAAATGAACTCCAGCAGAGTGGCTGGGAACTGCTTGGGCTCCATTGATCTGCCCAGCCGGCAAGTCTATACGGCACGATCGTGACCTGCCTGCGGCCCCGTATAAATTCCATCATTACCGTATAAATTCCATCCTCAGTGGTCGATGCCAGCTATATGGAAGAAAAACTCACAGGATAGTCGTTTTGGAGCAAGAAAATGAATTTTGAACAATAGCTAAAGATGCTGCCTCAAAACTCTATTGGTCACAGGATTTTGGAGCAAGAAAATTAATTTTGAACAATAGATGCTGCCTCAAAAGTCTATTGCTTATTTGACTATGAATTACTCGAATCATAATTTTCATAAACCATGTTGTTCACCTATCAAGTTGGCTGATTATGAGCTTGTGAAAATTTTACGTTCTTCAAATCTGTTTTAGTATTTAACTTTTTTTGGTATTACAAGCTCTCTCGTTGGCAATGCACCGAAAATAATTTACATATATTTCAGGGTACACTCATGACCTGCTTATAAAGCCTACGCATTAATAGAGATTCAATATAAGCATGCCAACCTATGTTGAATAAAAATTTCTAACTTGGGCATGCGGTCCACTCGGCATTCAGTGAGTGATGAGCCAGGAACAGACCTGCTCAGCTTCCTGGTTGGTCTTCGATTCGAATATCACTCAGAAAACTGCATGAGTTATATTGTCCAAATTGTAAAGCATTTCATCCACATAGCACCACGCCAGTATTTTCTGCTCCTCCAAACTGGATCATGATGACCCACACAAATAAAAAAAAATTCATTCCCTATTCCCTAAATTTCATTCCCTACATCGATAGACTGGTGTCCTCGCCCCTGCTCCGAGGTCCGTAAATTCTTGCCTACATCATGATGACAAGATCGTTTTTGATATCGAGAAGTTGAGCAATCTATCTTACTCTACCATACGTCCTTGTGTTGGAATTCACACGCGGCCCATGAAAACCCGTGTATTATAGCCTGTGCTTTTTTGAGCAATTTCTCAATAGAGGAAGTGATACTCGGTGAAATGCAGCGAGTTACGGCATGCCATGATTTTTTATTCAGTTGCTCTTGAGCTGCCATACTGGTGTTAGGTGCTCGATGCTAAATGGGTTTCTATATTTCAACTTGCGATGACATTAAGTTCTGTTATGAAATGCCCCTCAGGGGGGACTTCTGACGGGTGTCTGTACCCGTCAGAAGTCCTATGGGATTTCGCGCTCCTAGGGGGATTGTTCTTATGAGCGCCCCACCGCTGAGATCGCGGTGTCTGACTGCAGGTCTCAGTTGTGGGGTCAAGTTATTATGTAGGTAGGATTCCTTACATTTCCCTTCTCTGTCTCTCTCGTGCTGGCGGCCGACGTCCCGTGTAAGCGACCTCTTGTTCGAGTGTCTTCGTTTCTGTTATTTTTCACCTGTCCCTCCTTGTCACTTTGTCTCTTTTGAGATGCTAACGCTGCTTCCTTCGAGCCAGCTTCAGCGGGCTGGACATCTGAGACCTTCCGCCCCTTGTGGGTGATGAATAATTGAGACCTTCCACCTCTATGGTGATGTTCATCTTGACTTTCGGTGCGAGATAGCTTAATAGCTGAAGCGCTAGTAAACATTTGGCCACTAAACTAACTAACTAACTGTTATGAAATGAAAAGAAAAACAAACATCCCTAGTTGTTTTTTGGACTGGACAGCCATAAGGTAATTCATGGAGGAATTTATTACTTAGATTACCGCTGTGCTACTTCTGTATATATCGCTTGGTTGTCTACAAGAAAAGTTCGTGAGCGAACATCTGTAATTTTGGTGGATTTTAGTTCATTTTTTGGAAGTTCTTCTGCCTCACTCGCCATTGACTTTCTCACTCAACTTTTGGAAAGGTTGCTAACTATTTCCGGCGAAACCGTGATATATATTGGGCAAGTTGTTACTGGTAGAAGCACTTGGGTATCTCGTACTCTTCGTATATGGAGAATGTTTTTGAGCGTAAACGACTATATTCATGCCTTCGCTTACCTGTAAATGTATCTATAGAAAAATTATAGATTGTTTTCTTGTATGCTGAAATAACGAAGGATAATTTACCGAAAATCCATCTGAATGTGATTTAATTGCACGCTCCATCAATTGTGAATCACTATAAGGCAACATATTAATATATCACTACTTCAAGATTTCAACGCCTCGCACATAATTATTATGCAATCTACAAACAACGAACTCACCTCTTTAAAGTACACAAGTATGAAATTATGTAAAGTAAATCATTTTACGAATAAATTAATCGTATTAGTTGCAGTTAGCGACCAATATTTGTTACACAATATATTGTGAAATTGAGCAAGTTGGATAGAGAGGTTCAATAGAGTCTATATACTTTATTGAACCTTTGTTCACGGCTGTAGCTCCAACCTGGCCTTTGGGTACGAATAGCATTGAGGTCGGTTATTGTACTCGTATCTGCGAGCAAAATGTTTTTCAACCTACATTTTCAGATTTTTCATATCCCACTTTTGTTGAGGTTCACCCAAGATGCAAAACGCGAAAGCAACTGAACTATGGCGCTCGGCCGAACATGGTTTGATTTTTTTGAAATGTCAGAATTAGCGCATTATATGTACTGAAGACAATAACTGGTGTTGAAGCTTGAATGACAGTTTTTAGTATGAAAATTGATTGATATCAAGAATTCTTATTTTGTTTGTATTGTTTTCAATCGGTTTTGTGGCGTATTTTGCGTTCGCATAGGTTGCAATAAACGTTGTTCCATATTGTTCTTCAACATAGATTGGAGGTTTAAGTTACACTTCAAGTTTGACTTGTGAGTCTGCGCATGTTTAAAGTGCATCGTATTTTTTCCAGCGTAGAAAATCGTCAATTCTCAATAAGGGACGTGACTCACCCATTTAATGGTGCACAAGCTTCGTTCTTGTGTGGCAAACTAATGCGATATAAATCTACACTGTTCGAAAAACGTTGAAAAAACGGTCCCACTGGCGTTCTAGTGGCCGGTCGCCCCGTGAAAATAAACTGTTTCACCGTTTTTATCAGATGTTTTACGGATTTTTAGTGTTAAATTAGAATAAAAACGGCGATACGGTGTTTCTTTTCATGTGCCGACCGGCCGTTATACCGTTAACGGTAAATTTTCTAACAGTGTACATACATCCGCCTGCATGTGCATTGTTTAGCGGTGATAAACATTTGCAACAAATTTGTTTACTGGTCATAAACATATTCCAGAACTGCTATGCTTTATAAAATGTTATTACTCTCATATCTCAAATGCTTCATATCTTTCTTCATTACAAGTACTAGGCTAAGGAAAGTGTGAGTTCGCCATGTCTGTCGATTGGAGGCGTCGGTGATGTTGTTAGAGTGTGGATTTCAACAGTATTTTTAGAAGGGAAGAAAACAACATCGGAATAGTTTCATTACGCTAAAGAAATGTAATTACTAGGCCCAGTGGTTCGTGGATTATTAGCTATTTTAAGTGTCCAAATCATGGGAACAGTGTTACCAATGTGTCTGTCGCTCATCAAACAAGTATATAAATTTTATAATATCTTAAATTATTTTATAAACAATTTGGCAGTTGAAGATAACCATCGTTGTTTTTTTTCAACGAGTATTCAATTGAAATTGTCTTGTTTTCTTTTCTTAACAATTAGGCAATTGAAACTAACCATCATGTTTATTTTTTCATCAAGTATGACAGTTAAAAGTTAAAACTAACCATCATGTTTCTTTTCTCATCAAGTATGACAGTTAAAATTAACCATCGTGTTTCTTTTCTTAAGAATTGTGGCAATTGAAATTAACCATCTTATTTATTGTCTGAATAAGTGTATATCGATGACAATGAAGTTATGTTGTGTTGTCGCAGGGACTGTCGCGACAACGTAGACGATGTGCTCTTCGACATGTTCAAAGACGAGAACACCGACAAGGTGCACATGGGGCGCTTTATCGCCGTGAGTATAAAGGTCGCCATACCAGCGCTGACACGAGTATTTCTCTCCGTGCTTGTGCTTGACCTGTCAATTTCCTCTCATGCGCATGATTGATATGTCGCCATGTCTACGTTTTCATGTTGGAAATTACGAAACATTTAAGCTCATGTTTGTGGGGAAGAAATTTACAGGCCTTAGGTAATTATTCTATCGAGCATTATTGCTTATGGGACATCATAATATAGGGTGCGTCAGCTCTAAAGTATTGTGTCTCATGTATAAGAAGCTCTTATTACCCTATTCTTATTACCTCACTCTTATTACCTCACTCTTATTACCTCACTCTTATTACCCCACTCTTATTACCTCACTCTTATTACCTCACTCTTATTACCTCACTCTTATTACCTTACTTTTATTGCCTCACTCTTATTACGTCACTCTTATTACCTCTGACTTACGTCACTCTTATTACCTCCACTCAACCAGTTCTTATACAAAAATATTCGAAATTTTTTAAATTATCGTGACCGTTGTGAGATTTTAGACAAAATCTGACCAGGAATTAGCGAAATAATTTATTCTTACTATCCTGGATCAGAATCCTGGTTTCCTTTCTCGCTTAACACTATACCCAGAGAAGTGAGTAATAACATTTTGTCCGAATGGCGACGCGCATTTTAACCTTGTATGGGTCATCCTGACTTATCCCGTCAAAAAGCCGTTTCAGTGCTACGGCTTCTCTCTCTCGCACTGTTTGTCCAGTGAATAGGGAAGAGTGTTACTATTGGTCCAGTGATCCGATTATTTTTTGAGTGTATATTTTTCTGAGTGCACACTACAAAGATGTTGTGTTGCAGGCGCTGACGGAGACGGGACTGCGGAGGACAGACCCGCGGCTCAAAGAGTTCCGGGACAACCTGGCCGCCGTCCACAACCTGAGAGCTGACCACGACGAGTCGTCCATCACAGCCCTCGACCTCAACAAGGAACTCTTTAAAAGGTTATCTTCATGCAAACTACATGCAACAAATGATACTTTGTTGAACATTATCCCTCCCTGTAGCGGCTAAATTTTTCTGTTTCCCCCGGAAGCTCATTTAACTTTGTTTGGTAGCTTCAATCTTCGGTTCGTATGAATTAGAAAACCTGCAACAAATGATACTTTCTTGAACATTATCCCGCCCTGTAGCGGCTAAATTTTTCTGTCTCCCCCGGCAACTCATTTAAGCATGTTTGGTCGCTTTGACCTTCGGTTTGTCTGAATTAAAAAACCTGCAACAAATGATACTTTGTTGAACATTTTTTCCGTAGACGCTATATATTTTAGTCTGCTCCTGCAGCTCATTTGTGTTCGCTAGGTCGCTCATAACTTTCGGTTCATCTGGAAATTTTTTTCTGCTGATTGTATGTTTTTGTCGTCAGTTCTCAATGACATGTCTTCATGCACGGCGATGCCTGGAACTATTCACGAGTACCATACACCTTGTAGTGTATTTTTTAGTTTACTGATATGTGTTGTGCATCTTGTACGTTATGAACGCTCACTGTATTTAGCCGTATTTAAATTACGGGAATGTAATTTAAGTAGAGTTATAAACAACAGCCGCTCCGAGGGCCAATCGTTGACTCTGGACCAGATGATCGCTCAAGCACGAAAGAATTTACGGGATGACCCAAGGCGGCCTAAGAGACCCACACACGGCGACGTGTTCACGTCTTGGCTGCCAGAGATACCAGCGTCTCTGTCACTCGACAAGAACTTGTTCAAAAAGTACGTTTTGAAATTGAGGATTTCGCGCGCTAAATCGTATGGCTTTTGCCTGCTTTTTTATCTCCGACTTACCCAAATAAAATTGTCCTCTCGTTATTACTCAGTTCATAAATGCATTATAGTTTGATAAGGCTGGGGAAGCCTAAAGTTTTAAAAGATTGCCAGGCAGCTTCTTAGTCCAAACAATTGCATGTGCGTGAAGGATGGTTTGCAGTTTGCGAAAGGCTATAGTGACTCAAAATAGATGACCTAGGGGGATTGTTCCTGAGCGCCCCACCGCTGAGCTCGCGGTATCTGACTGCTGGTCTCAGTTGTGGGGTTAAGTTATTATGTAGGTAGGATTCCTTACCGGTACATTAAGTTATTATGTTGGTCTCTCGTGCGGGCAGCCGACGTCCCGTGTAAGCGACCTCTTGTTCGAGTGTCTTAGTTTCTGTTGCTTTTCACCTGTCCCTCCTTGTCACTTCGTCTCTTTGAGATGCTAACGCTGCTTCCTTCGAGCCAGCTTCAGCGGGCTGGACATCTGAGACCTCCCGCCTCTTATGAGTGATGATTAATTTGAGACTGAATTATTGAGACCTGCCGCCTTGCTGGCGATGTTATCTTTTGAACTCCGGTGCGAAATAGCTTGATAGCTGAAGCGCTAGTAAACCATTCTACTACTTACTTACTTATTTACTTACTTACTTACTTACTTACTCCAAAATAGATGAATGAACATTTCGCCTGCACTGAGGAGCTGTTTTCATAATCATAAATAGTGGCGGCGCACGGCTCATTTTTTATTGGTAAAAACATCTTTTTTATATTTGTTCAAGACTCTTGTTTGCATCTGCTTCGACAGTTTTTTTACTTGATTAAGAAATGAGCAAACCATGTCATCTTGACCCAGTTACGCATCACTCTTTTAACAGTGGACAAGCGAATAGACTTGTTAACGTTTCAAATTCTACTTATTCTGAAGTCTACCAACGCTTATTCTCATTCTTAAAAGTTAATTCTGTCTGCCGACTTTCAATCAAGATATCGAATTGAATATCTTATTGAGAGCAAGAGGTGCTTTCTTCGTTTGTGTTCTTTTCGCTGAGAAAAATATTCAATATCAAAAGTCACTCTTTATCATGTCTGAGGGTCTCACACTCTCCAGATTTACAATGCTGAAAAATCTTCCTTATTATTATTCTTTGTTATAGCAGCTGTTGTTATGGGACTGTCTATAATTTATTATAATAACTGCAACGACTGGCAGTTAAGTAAAAAGTTATCCACTACTAAGTAATTTTTTTGTACTATTACTAAAAAAATTACTAAGTAATTTTTTTTTTGACTAATCAGACGCTCATACGAGTTCCTAGATGCAGAAACGATGAAGCAGTTGTTTGTTGCCGTTGTACGCCCGAGTCTAGAGTTTGGAAACGTTGTGTGGTCACCGAGATTTTCTATGAACAAGGCACGAAATGGAAAAGAATCGGCGACAGGCCACATCAGGCCTACACTTTCAGAGCCGACATCACTATGTTATGTTATGTTATGTTATAGGAATTGGTCCTACCTAACACCTCAGCGTTAGTGGACGTTTTCACAACTAATTAAACTTTGTGTTGGCAACGAAACTTAGCCTTAATCACATTGAAAAACCATGTAAATTACACTCTGTTTGAATCAGACATGAATACGTGAACGTGTGGAGACGCTGGACTCTGGTGGCAATGTACATGATCGTTAAAATGGAGTTGAAGTCTGATTTACAATCTTGCAATGTATGGTGATGAACCTGCAAGTGGTCGGCTGATTTATAACCTAAAATGTGCATGGATGGTTCTCATCATGTGCCGTACAAAAAAAAAACATAAGACGCTAACACCAAGCAAGAATGTTTGTTTCACTTGAATGTAAATCAACTGAAATATTCGTTTAACTTTCGCATCAATATTAATTACAAATAGGTGCATAGTATCAGTATTAATTATAGGTTTAATAATTGGAAAATTGTTAAGCGTTAAGGAAAATAAAGCGTGAATGTGTGAAGCATGCCTTCTAAACGCCATTTTAAATGCGAGCAAGAATAACTTATAAATAATATTATAAATATATAAATAAGTCATTTTTATTATAAATGAACATATAAATAACATAATAAATAATCCATTCATGACAAATCTCAGCCCACCCTTGTCCGCAAATAAAAAACAAGCTTGGACCTTAATGACTTAAATTGTAGTAAATTTTAAATTAACTTTAAATGATTTAACAAGACTTCAAAAATAATTATTCTTCAGAGTTTTTATTAACAAATGGGCTTCCGAAAGATCGCATATTTATCGAATCTCGGTGAAGAAGCGAAGTTTTTTATAGCTGAAACTATAATATTGCTGGACAATATTATAGTTTCAATATATATATAGTTGCTGGACAATATATACAATATAATTGTGATCTATATGGCATAATTTCTATTTATGGACTTGTATTTATTAATTAATTAAGCCGAGAAGGAGAAAGACACTATAATTCTATTCATTCCTCAAGGGTGAAATGTAAGAATTCACAAGCAATGTTACGCAATTTGAATCATTCACGATTTACGGATTTTAGATAATTGTTTATGAAGCGATCAGTTGCTTTTATTGACCCGCAATTGTTTACAAAGTTTTACGTTCTTAAATTATTTTGGAGTAATATTGGCTGGAAACTGGACTCTTTCAAGATCATATTGAAGGGTCAGCTTTGATAAGAGTAAAATAATGAGAAGCAAGTAACGGAGTGCTTGCAAACAAAGTTTAAAAATATTTTTAAAAAATGTGTGTTAGAAAAGTAACAGCTCTTCAAAAAAATCGAAGCGCTACAAATGCTTATCGTGTTGGACTAGTATTTATTGGCAATTATTAGTCTTTCATGCCGAAGCAACTGAGAAAGCTATTTTATAGTCGAGAATAGATAGTAGTAGTTAGTAGTAATTTAAGTAATCTTACTTGGTAGTAAGATGCATTGTGATATCATGAACACAATAAAAGCAATCTGGTTGCTATGATCTTATTTACACATTTTCGCTGTAGATAACTGCTTTTAACTGCTCACTGGAGCTGGTGTCATGAATTTCTTCTCAGATAAACTTCGTTATTAGTTTGTACAAACAGGATTGTACTCTTGTAAATATAATTCATTCAGCTGTGAAGAGTGTAATGAAAATAAAAGGAAATAAAAGGTGTAATGAAAACTGTGATGTATAATGAAAGTGTTATGTTATGAAAGTGTAATGTAATGAAAAGTTTAATTAAACTGTATTGTAACATAAAGTATAATGAATGTTTCATGCAATGCAAAGGTTAATGAAACTCTATTGTAGTGGAAAGTATAATGAGTGTTTCATGCAATAAAAAGTGTAATACGAGAAATAAGTAATGTAATAGCTAACAACCCCCCCCCCCTGGCGTGCAGAGTGTTACGGGACAACGTAGTGCTGATCTCGCGCGCCCTGCGTCACCACTTCGTCATCCCGCAGTGGGCAGAGTTCTGCTCGCACCTCGAGGACTTCTACTGGGCCGGCAAGGCGCTCAAAGGCGGACATGTCAGTCCACAGTTATTTCTATAATAATTAGAACTGCTTGTATAATTATTAGAATTATTTGTATAATTATTAGAATTATTTGTATAATAATTAGAATTATTTGTATTATTATTAGAACTATTTCTATAATACCGGTAATTAGAATTATTTGTATAATTATTAGAACTATTTCTATAATACCGGTAATTAGAATTATTTGTATAATTATAATAACTTTTTCTATAATAATTAGAATTATTTGTTTAATAATTAGAATTATTTGTATAATTATTAGAAATATTTGTATAATTATTAGAATTCTTTGTATACTTATTAGAATTATTTGTATAATTATTAGAATTAATTATTTATATGATAATACATAATAATACATAATATAATAATTATTTGTATAATAATTAAAATAATAAAAAATATAATTATTTGTTTAATAATAATAAAGTATAATTGTTGTATAATTACTTTATAAATACGCATCATATTATATAGTTTATAAATAGGTTCTTTATGACTCACCGTATTGAAATCATTCACTGTATTAGTGTATTTATTTGATTTACGGATTTAAAACTGTCATAATGGTGATGCACTGCTATGTAAATAAGCGATGAAAAATTTGGTAAATATAGCAGATTTTTTAAATTTTATTTTAAAATTTTCAAGTTGAGAGACAGGGCCGTACGTTGACTGTTAATAGCTGCAAAGCCCACGCCAACGTTATTAATTATTGTATGACTACAGTAATTATCTCATCACTTATTATTCATGATTTCGTTTCACTTAGCGGAATATTACATCATATGATAGTTTATCTGTTATGAAGTCTTATTTTTTACGTGTTGGGATGTGAAGCTATATTTTCATAGGAGTAACTGAAATATTCGTTGCAGATGCCGTGGATTTCTTGAAGATTTAGGTATTATGTTATTTCAGATTTCCCTTAAATTAAATTTCATATTTTGAACGATTTTACAATGATGCTCTAGTCATGTCTTATGCTTGTGTGCCATTTGATGAACAAATGACTTGGTGAGATGGGAACCCTGAGTTCTGCATGATGCAGAGTATAAGACTAAGGCATTTATTGAACAATTTATTATCTGTGACATGATGTCAAGTACTGAGAAATTGAGAGCTAAGAAAATTCACGAGTATCTGTCGAAAATAAAAATGCATGTAAATTTAAAAGGCATCTTTTGATTTTATTGGCATCAATTCAGTGGATGCACAACTTGGACATTCGTCATGATGCCGATTATGTTGTTGGCTGCTTCATGCAATATATACAATTGAATGTTGTGAAAACATTTACAAGTTATACATCGACATAATTGAGTGAATGAAAAACATTTGGCGTCCTACATCCCGCAGCTGGCACTTGTATCCTACATAATGCTGATGCAGGCTGGTGTTGCAGGTGGCATCCTACATCCCGCAGCTGGCTCAGGGGTCTGTAGTGGGTCTGGGGTCTGTAGTGGGTCAGGGGTCTGTAGTGGGTCAGGGGTCTGTAGTGGGTCAGGGGTCTGTAGTGGGTCAGGAGTCTGTAGTGAGTCAGGGGTCTATAATGGTGAGAGGTCTGTTGCTGGTTTATGGTCTGTTTGGCGTGCCGGAAAGATAAGTCTCAACACGTCCCTCTATGATGCCCTGAAAGTTGTTCAAAATGCTGCATGGTATGATTCTGAACAGATCGATGATGTCTTTGTCAAATCTGTCAAATGTTGCGGATCTTGAATTGGCAAGGAATTGGTTTTGTATAATATATATACATTCCACCAATTATATACATTCCACCAAAGAAGTTAAGACCCGACTAATGTAATATGTTAATATGTTAGAAGTGTTCGTAAGCTTTTAATTGTGTCATCTTAAACTTTAAAATTCATACTGCTGCATCTCTTTCAAAATAGGCCATAATATAGCAATCAAAACAAAATTCATTCCAGAATAATTCATCAAAATATGCGATAGGTAACTTGTCTAATTTATTATTCATATCTACCGTATCATACTATATACATTGATATTTATTCACAGATATAATCATTAATATAATTGTTGTATAATATATAATTGTAGTAATTATATGTATATTTGTTGGTTAGTCAGATTGGTTAAACATTTCGTAATAGGTTAAACCCTTCTTTAGGACAAGTTTGTTTTAAAATAATGCCATTTCTAAGACTTTCCGACCGTATTTCCACACCCATTGTTTGACAGCTAGAGAAACTAAACTCTAAGAAGTTCTAAATAAAAGTTACATTATTTTTAACCAAATGTCAATAATTATTCATACGAGACATTTGAAATTCGTTATTATTGGCAGTAAGCCTCTGACATACGCGATCGCGCTGAACGAGCTCGGAGCTGACACCGTGCATCGCTACGTGGGCACGGAGCCCAGCGGCCGCATGTTCAACGCCATCGTGCTTGACTATAATAGTGAGTATATTAGACTATTTGACAGACATAAATAAACATAATTGTTCATTATACCTTGTTTGTGTTACATTTATTAATTACTTTAAATTTGTTACGCATGTTCAACGCTACCGTGCTTGACTATAATAGTGAATCGAGAGTGCTGATCTCTTCATTGGTTTCTATTGTATTTCCGACATTAAAATTTATTTAAAAAAAATATTATATATCGTTTTCGACCTTATTTGGCGTCATTGTTTATTGTCCGTTACTGGATTTTGTTGTTTTAATTTATTATTTGATTAAAGTCAAGTTACAGGTAATTGCAGGAGCTGCCCGTACCTCTGATGAAAATGTATCGCTTCATACACTGCTGATAATGGTTCATTATTCAATTAGCAGAATAGTGCCAACTAAACAATTACTAAATTGCGATTCGACATCTATTCTCATTTGGATTTGACAATGATATTTTATGTAATAAATGTTTTAGTCAGCGTTTCAACATAGAATAATTCAATTATTCAGCATATCTTTATTGGCTAACTCAAAAGAATTTGCGCCGTGTAGGCTTAACTTTCATTTCTTCATTAATCATAAATGATTGCCACAAATATTATTTTTATACTATTTATTTGCAAATAGAAAGCATCATCCAAACTTACCACTTGTCTTATCATTGTCGACCAGTCAAAATTAACCTATTCCTACTATTTTGTATCTTCTACATAAATCACAGCTTGACACGTGGTAGGCTTCTTCGAAACTAAATGTAATAACATGCATCTAGAGTTGTTACATGGTTGGCGCTTCCTGATAAAGCGGTTATGATAACACGGTTATAATTCAACTAAGCAGACAAGCCCCATAACCCCCATTAATAATACGGCTGGTGAGCAGACAAGCCCCGCAACCCCCATTAATAATACGGCTTGTGAGCAGACAAGCCCCATAACCCCCATTAATAATGCGGCTGGTGAGCAGACAAGCCCCACAACCCCCATTAATAATGCGGCTGGTGAGCAGACAAGCCCCACAACCCCCATTAATAATACGGCTGGTGAGCAGACAAGCCCCATAACCCCCATTAATAATACGGCTGGTGAGCAGACAAGCCCCATAACCACCATTAATAACACGGCTGGTGAGCAGACAAGCCCCACAACCCCCATTAATAATACGGCTGGTGAGCAGACAAGCTCCATAACCCCCATTAATAACACGGCTGGTGAGCAGACAAGCCCCATAACCCGCTGGTGAACGCCGGCGCTATCGTAGTGAGCGCCCTGCTGCAGCAGCTCGTACGGCCCCAGCTCGCCTCCTCTGAGAAGTTCGACTTCGTGCAGCAGTACTTCAGTGTACGTAATGTGTACTTCAGTGTACGTAATGTGTACTTCAGTGTACGTAATGTGTACTGCAGTGTACGTAATGTGTACTGCAGTGTACGTAATGTGTACTGCAGTGTAGGTCATGTGTACGTACCGTGTACTTCAATGTACGTACTGTGTACTGCAGTGTAGGTATGTGTACGTACTGTGTACTGCAGTGTACGTACTGTGTACTGCAGTGTATGGAATGTGTACTTCAGTGTATGGAATGTGTACTGCAGTGTACGTACTGTGTGCTGCAGCTAGTGTACGCAATGTGTGCCGCAGTGTACGTTCAATTTGAGAGCAAAATGCCTCTGTATTTGTCTACAGGGTCCGCCATATTTATGGCAACGCATGTTTTTTTGTTATTTCACAATGAAACAAACAGGTGCATTGTTTTTTTATTGGATGAGCTAGTAGCCAAGAATTACCTAAACAATTCTCAGACATATTTATTCAATATGACCACCCTTATTTTCAATGACGGCCTCCAATATACTCGGGAAAGCTGAGGAGACACGCAGCATTTCTTGAGGGATCAAGTCCCATTCTCTTGTCAATTTAACTTCAAACTATCCAAAGAATCATGAGGTGTTCTGCAGACCCGACTCTCTAAAATAGCCCACACAGAAAAATCGAGAGGATTCAAATCAGGGCTACTTGAGGGCCATTCATTTTTGCTAATGAACGCTGGGATGTGACCCTGAATCCAGTTTTGGGTCATGCTTGAGCCATGTGATGGGGTAGAGTCTTGTTGAAAACTCCATGGTGAGTTGTTGAAGTTTTTACGGGCCCAAGGTAACAACACCGCTTCCAATATGTTCGAAATGTATCGCTGACTGTTCAATTGCCCTCCTGAGGGGACAAGAACGAGTGGGGACCTCCCAGTGGCGGTTACCGCGGCCCAAACCATCACGGACATGGGATTTTGACGTCGTGTTGCTGTTCTGGTTGCCACAGATCCATCCCGACTCCAAACTCTGTCATTTTGACGGTTAACGCTTTGTTCAATGTCAAATTTTTTCTCGTCACTGAACACCAAGTTGGGCAGCGTGCCATCCTCAATAAGATCCAGAATGTGCTGGCATCTTTCGAGCCTCATTCGTTCATGACGGTCTGTTAGTTCATGCCTTGTTTGCATCTTGTAACGGGAGGTTTTGAGGTCATCTTTGAGGACTCTACGCATTGATGCCTGACTGACTCCTGCTTCTGCAGCCAATTTTGCAGCTGAGCGACGAGGGTTTCTCCTCAACTTCTCCCTCGTGTTTTTGACCAATTATTTTGTTCGGACACTTCGTTTCCTTCCTTGACCAGGTCGATTGCATGTTTCACCAGTTTCCTTGAATTTTTTTACCACCTACACAGTTTCAAAACGAATTTGGAGCTTTATTGCAATGATTGAATTACCCTCGCCCCTTTCATGAAGGGTTAAAATTGCATTTCTATCTACTGCCACTGGTAATAGTAAATTTAGACGTAGACACCGTAGACGTAGAAACCAATTTATTTTTATATAGCAAACATTCTTTGCCATAAATATGGCGGACCCTGTAGTACGAGAACAGCAATTTTGTGAACATTGCTTATTTTTACAAATAATTATTTTTATACTGTAGTTATTTGTGCGTGACCAATTGGTGAACAGCAAATCAATTAATGACAAGCCTGAAGATTCCAGTGTGTTGTTCATTCATTGTTATTTTTCTTTTATTGGCATTCTTTTATTGGCATTCTTCTTCTTATCTCTTAATGTTATTCTAACTATTATCTTTCGGCCAACGATCATTATCTCATTTGTACTCTATTTACCTTCTGTGTCATTGTTTCAACTATCTTATCCATAACGCCGATCCTTTTCTTCATCTTCATTATTCCTTCTATCTTGACTATCACGTCATCCGACTTCTTCCTTGGTTTTTCATCCTTCTCTTTCATCATTTCATTCATCTTCTTCATTACTTTTTCAATTTTTATCACGTCATCGATCGCTTTTCGATCAGTTCATTGATTGCCTTCTCCACTAATTGAGTTAAATAATATCCATTCAACATCAATCATGTTTCTACTTCAAACGGATCATTTAAACACACGTTTTTTGTTTATTCGGTCACTCTTAATAGTTTATTTAAATTATATTGTGTTTGTCGGAACAGCGCTTGGCGGGCGGTGAACCTGTCGGTTTCAGTAACGGAACTTTCCTGTCGGAGCGCGAGAACGCTGACCGCAATCACGCGCTGGCTTACTACATGCGCGAGAACAAATGCTTCCCTGAGAAGACTGACCTCACTGCCATACTTGACCTCTACTTTCAGGTGAGGCTAATGTGCTTCTATTTATTTTAATTTAATTTTATTTTATTAATTCTTCCCTGAGAAGACTGACCTCACTGCCATACTTGACCTCTACTTCCAGGTGAGGCTAATATACTTCTATTTAATTTAATTTAATTTTATTTTATTAATTCTTTCCTGAGAAGACAGACCTCACTGCCATACTTGACCTCTACTTCCAGGTGAGGCTAATATACTTCTATTTATTTTAATTTAATTTAATTTAATGCTTTTCTGAGAAACTGGCGCCTCGCTTCCATACTTGACCTCTACTTTCAGTTGAGTCTAATGTACTTCTATTTAATTCTATTTAATTTGATTTAATTCTTCCCTGAGAAGACAGACCTCACTGCCATACTTGACCTCTACTTACAGGGAGTCTAATGTCCTTCGATTTAATTCAATTTAATTTAATTCAATTTATTTATTTCCTGAGAAAACTGACCTCACTGTCATACTTGACCTCTACTTTTAGGTGAGTCTAACGTCCTTCTATTTAAGTAATCCACTTCTTGTAATTTTCCTTTTGGGGAGCTTTCGGTTAAGTTATAAGTTTTCATTCAATAAGTCTTTACTTTAAAAACCGATTCGTGGGCGTCCTCAACCGTTACTTCCAGGTGAGTTTGGTCATTTAAAGAATTACTTGTGGTCCTATAAGTAATTTCATTTGCGGGCTATCAAGTAGTTTGCTGAGCTCGAGATTTTGTTGAGTATGAGATTTTCATTTAGGAAACTTGATTTTTTTTCGTCATTCAGAGAGCGCATATTTAAAGATCAGCATTGTGAAGGTGCGAATTGCTAGGGGAAATTTAGTTTAAAGCGAGGCAAAAATCTCGTGTTGGGGACTCGTATGCCTCAAAGAGTAATTTCGTTGTCACATGAGCTTAAGCGTTTTTTTTAATTTGTTCCTATGCTACAAATAAAAATTATGCTTTCTATACGGTCTCTTTAGGACGACAATTAACTAATTATGAACAGAACATGGCTTCGCTTTATCTCGAATTTTTTTCGAAATTTGTTCGATTTCTTCACTAAACTGGACCAGTATCGCCACACCGAGCATTGGTCAAAACATGGACCGTGACATTGGAATTATTATTTTCTCTCAATGTTAAACAAGCCTGATTCAGTTGAGGCATATTATTGTTCTCTCCACTCCTCCAGCAAAAATTTAATTATTTCTTTAAATCCACCTTCAATTTACTTCTTACTCTCAATGTGTGCGCTTTTTCCATGCATTTCATGATAATCAAAACTACTATTCTATCCCACTTCTGTTCGCTTTGATGCTATTGCGGTTAAATAAGCAACACTCGACATTATAGAATGTAATGAGAAGACGCTTGTTAGGGCCAACACAAAATTATCCCTCCTCAGCCAGTGCGGAAGAACTTAAACAAAAAAATCTTTCGTTGCAAGTGTTAATCTCAACCTAAAGTCTATTGCCGCAATGTGAATAAAAGAGTTAAGTTTAGTATTTGCTATTATATCGATATTCATTTAAAATAACTTATTCACGTACTTACTATAAATAAACTGCGGTATCTCATTCCTACAGAAAAATTCCAGTTAGAAAACTCTCATGATGACGGTCATACATATTTAGCTTGATAACAAATTTATTCGTAATGACGATATTGTTCATTAAAACCTAGAAACTTTTGTGTGATGTCTCTATAGCCTAAATTTCAATCTGAAGTGTTTATTGAAAGTCGAGCTTATAGCGTGAAATAGAGCTTTCTTTGCCTTATATACTCTACAACAGTTTGAATGTATCTGATGTTCGCACTTTGAATGTATCTGATGTTCGGATATTGGATAAAAGATCATGTTATTGAGATTGCGTCAGATGGCGACTTGTCGCGTATACATTTGGTTTGCTCTCGAACGAAGACTCAGTCTCAACAATTATAATGCATTAAAACCAATCAAGCGGAACGGAACTGAACTACCAGAGAAACGCTTTCCGAAAACTCAAAAATGTCACTCAATTATGATCAGGGTTAGTCATTAATTTTTATTGTAGCGTAATATTCAACAATGAAAAATTTTTACGTCAAGTACTATCTGAACATAGCGTATTTTTTTAGACTCTCGATTACATAAAACTAACATGATCTACATTTCATATGCAAATTTGAGTGTTTTTTTCCAGAAAATGCAAGTTAAATCTTAAGTACCTAGAATGAAGCATTGCTCGAATGTGTATTCGCGATATTGTCGTTTTGCGCTTAAACGTCCGCTGTTCTGGACTCTTACGACAAACTACATAAGGCTGCGTGTCTGACAAATTTCTGCATGCTGCGATCCTCTGTACTTAGTCATTTTATCAACCTGTCATTAGCTCCATAAACTCTGTAATTACTAATTACAGTTTAAAACATGATTTAAGAACCAATTAATCGTATATCTTAGCATAATTATTCGGATTTCATCACCATCACCGTCAGTCGTCCTGGTTACAAAGACAATATGGAAAGCGATTCAATAGTTCGGAAATATTACGTTTGCAGTGAATGAATGGAACGAATGTGATTATTGGAAGATAAAACCTTCTGAACATTACGCATGAGGCTAGTTGTATGAAGATTTTTGAAGGCGAGGTCTAGAAGGGGTGTTAAAAATTCTTCCGGTAGTATGTGGTAAGATACGATCGGTGTGCTTTTAAAAACAATGGAGTTAAGAGTGACAGAAAAAACAACAAGTAATCAAATTATGATCGACGCTTCTTGAAACAAGTCGGTTGTATATTAGTGGGTAAAGTGTGGGAATAACTCGCTTGCTGTTGTGAATTAACGTGGGAATGCGAATCATTCACATAGGATTACGATAGTTCTCGGTTGAAGAAATGAAAGTATGAATAAAAAAGTATAAATTAACTGGAAGCATTTTAATTTCGAATAGGAGGAGATGTATGGTGGAATGAGGCAGTTCACTTGCTCAGACCAACATACAGAAAAATAGGTTGTCAAGCACAGGACGGTAAGGTTCTTTCCAAAAAGTAAATGTCGCCTAATCAGCCGCTCACGGATAGAAAATTATAAGTGAAGTGCACGAGCATACGAGAAATATTAGGTTTTTTCAATAAGAAAGTATTGACATTTAAACGCGGGAAGTTTTTTGGTTAAAAATGCGGCGGAGTTTTTTCCCGTATGTAGCCAAGATACGGTCAGGGGCTAAGGAACTTGAGGATGCGGTACACGGGTTACGGGACTTGAGGATGCGACACACGGGTTACGGGACTTGAGGATGCGGTACACGGGTTACGGGACTTGAGGATGCGACACACGGGTTACGGGACTTGAGGATGCGACGCACGGGTTACGGGACTTGAGGATGCGACACACGGGAAAAATTTGATGATCAGATACACCTCCAACATGGGATATTGGAGGAGTTTGAGCAGGCAGGTTCGTGACAGGTGCAGATAGGCAGGCAAGTTGGTTCGTGATAGGTGCAGGTAGGCAGGCAAGTTGGTTCGTGACAGGTGCAGGTAGGCAGGCAAGTCGGTTCGTGACAGGTGCAGGTGGAGCAGGCAGGTGTAGCAGTTGTGGGTTCAAAGACGCCGATGATGGTTGCAGGTTCCAGAACAGGTTTATGTGGGGTAGAAAAATTAAATGAGAAATTTCGAAGACAAAATGCAATGCCGGGGAAATTTGGTTTTGATTTAAATAATTTTTAATACATTGAATCAGTATAATGAAGATGGTCAAATGGCTCGATAACTCTTGTGGAGTTCGCGAAAGTTTTCCGTGTAGATTCCTACGTGTACACATCATTATTGTTGTATAGCTGCTCTGTGCTTCTCGCTACAATAAATACACTTTTCAAACCTGGTTCCCTGAGGTTTCCACCGTCTTAAATTTGATTTCCAAACCGGGGCTATAATTTCAAGAAAAAGGCAATTGGGACTGAGAAAAATTTAATTAAAATCCTTCAAAATCTTGTCTATTTTTCATTTAAACTGGTTTTAGCAGTTGAATGCATTAATTGCAACTCTTAGCTGAGCTATTCATGAATTTTCTAATTATCAATCAATCAAACCATTCACTGAACAATAATTTTATTTATGTAACGTTGCCTGCAGAATTTGGTCACTCAATTAATCCAAACTAAAAGGAGAACGCAATGCGGGTGGGTTCTCTAATTTACGAATACCAAACTTTCAAAAATTTTCCAATCGGCCGGCAATTCCAATTACTTCTACTACAAAATTTTTTCAGCCAATCCTACTGCCATGCAATTATGTTTGATATATTTTAGTAATCATACGTTATTAATGTAAACTTGATAACTCTGAAAAAATTGATGCTCTGAAATCTTTACCACTATTTCTCAATGATAAATACAACGACAAGATTACTGGTTCTCAATGACACATTCAAATACCTTGATAAGAAACATTGTTGATCGTGTAAGATTACCGTTTCTCAATGACACATTCAAAGACCGTGATAAGAAACATTGTTGATCGTGTAAGATTACTGGTTCTCAATGACACATTCAAAGACCGTGATAAGAAACATTGTTGATCGCGTAAGATTACTGGTTCTCAATGACACATTCAAAGACCGTGACAAGAAACATTGTTGATCGCGTAAGAAAGCCGGTTCGCTGTGATAAATCCTTGGACTGTGTGTGAAGAAACATGGTTTATCGCGTAAGATTACTGGTTCTTTATGACATATTCAAAGATCGTGATAAGAAACATTGTTGATCGCGTAAGGATACCGGTTCGCTGTGATTAATCCAGGGACTGTGTGTAAAGAAACATGTTTTATTGCGTAAGAATACTGGTTCTTGGTAATACTTGTAAAGCCTGCAGATCCAGGACTGTGCTACTGTAGGAACGCTGTACTTTATCAAGCACAACATCGTTTATTATTTGTAGCTGGGGCACGCATCTGTGTCGGTCACTCGCCAGTCATCATATCCATGAACTCTGTACAAGACAACGAATAAAACTCCTTATCAATTTGACATCAACAAATATTCGGAATTCACTCACAAAACGAAGAACAAATTAGAAATATTCAGAATGAGGAATGGGCAAACTCAAGAGGAAATGCAAGGCATTCTGGACGAATGGAATGGCATTCGTCTAGAAATTAAACTTATTTTAGATGAAAGCGTTTTTGAGACCTGCTACTGATTAGTAAAGCTCGATAAAAACATTAGAAAGTTGAGAAATTCTGCTAAGCTAATAATGAATCAGTGTGTTCTTTATCAAGAGGATCTTTTTATTATGCATTTATTACACTGATACGTTTTTTGCGACTTTGAACTCTTTGAATTTTTAGTCTTGGTCTTATTATTTTTCCGTTCGTAAATAATACGTGTTTAAATAAGTGTTAGTAAGGCGAAGAAAGAGTACGGACGAAATTAAGAGCGAAATTAATATATTCGCAGTAATTTTTTAAAAGCAAATAAAAATTCAAGACGTTAATTCAGAGAAATCAAAAATCAAATATTCTCATCGTAAGTACCTAGCAGGTTCCAATTTACTTTCAGTTAATATTGTTGGAAAATAATTTGTAATTAATTGTTCAGCGAGAATGTGTGAACCGGATCAGCGTTAACCCCATGCATCAGGGTTACCAGATAGATAATGGTTGACTAGATGGATAATGGTTAACCCGATATATAAGGGTTAAAGGACCAGGATTTACCCGCAGCACGTACCGTCGAAGTCTACGGTGCCTGAGCCGTCGGCGTCGATTTCCTCGACCATCCCGTCGAGCTCCTCGTCCGTGAGCTTATCGTCCAGCTCCTTGAGGATCTCCCGCAGCACCGCCGTGGGGATGAAGCCCTCACCTTGTCGGATAATATATAAATGGGCATTAACTAGACGCAGCTATAGGCACTCATGATCATTAACTGGACGCAGCTATGGGAACTCATGATCATCCAAATGGGCATTAACTGGACAGCTATAGGCACTCATGATCATTCAAATGGGCATTAACTGGACGCAGCTATGAGCAACTCTTGATCATTCAAATGGGCATTAACTGGACGCAGCTACGGGCATGGGCACTCATGATCATTCAAATGGGCATTAACTGGACGCAGCTATGGGCACTCATGATCATTCAAATGGGCATTAACTGGACGCAGCTATGGGCACTCATGATCATTCAAATGGGCATTAACTGGACGCAGCTACGGGCACTCATGATCATTCAAATGGGCATTAACTAAACACAATGGGCATAAATTAACTCATGGACACAAGACTGTTTGAGTCAAAGTACCTTCTTGGACCGGAATAGCTCATAGAAATTTTGTCACGGTTGTTAATGCATGGTAACTCATAAAGCCAACGAAAGCAAATGAATCTTTTAGCAAGGGTGGCCTTTGATAGCTAATTTAATCTAACTTGTTCGAAAGAAACCATTTTATCAAAGAGAGTCTTTTGATGTACTAAAGGTCTAGATTGAATTTTGAGTCTAAAAATTTTACTTTGTGTCGAAGTTTAACGGGAATTAATTTAATGTACGTCTTACCGTTTTTGTCGTATAATCTGAAGGCTTCTTTTAATTCTTTCTTCATCTCCTCCTCGTCTTCTTCATTCATAAATTTTGTCGCCAGAAGAACGAATTCGTTGAACTCCAATTCGCCAGACCCTGGCAACAAAAACACCAGTGAAGTCTTTCGCTGGGACATTTTATTTTTAACCAATACTTTATATAAATATTTTTTGCTCTTCGGTGAAAAAAGGGAAAACCGAATAACGATGAATTGAAGTGGATGTGGTTCCTCTTGACATTATTGTACAAGAGAGACTTGAAAGTAACGACTATCGAAGGTAACTTCACTAAGACCGGTAATAATCAACCAGTAACAGCTAATCTAACAGTTATTTTAACTTATTGAGGTCTTTCATGTTAAAATGAATAATTTTTACTTAAAACAATACTGACCATCAAAGTCGACCTCTTCTGTGACCTCCTATAGGATCTGTCTGTTGACGGTCTGACTCTTCATTTTGACCTATTCTACTGTAGTTACCCACTAAAATATATGTGACACTAACACTAACCGTCAACGTCGACCTCTTCTATGACCTGCTTAAGGATCTGTCTGTAGACGGTCTGACCCATCATTTTGACCTATTCTACTGTAGTTACCCACTAAAATATATGTAATACTAACCATCCACGTCAACCTCTTCTATGTCCTGCTTAAGGATCTGTCTGTTAACGGTCTGGTACATCATTTTTACGTATTCTACTGTAGGTACCAACCAAAATATATGTAATACTAACCATCCACGTCGACTTTTTCTATGACCTGTTTGAGGATCTGTCTGTTGACGGTCTGACCCATCATTTTGACCTATTCTACTGTAGTTACCCACTAAAATATATGTAACACTAACCATCCACGTCGACCTCTTCTATGACCTGTTTGAGGATCTGTCTATTGACGGTCTGACCCATCATTTTGACCTATTCTACTGTAGTTACCCACTAAAATATATGTAACACTAACCATCCACGTCGACCTCTTCTATGACCTGCTTGAGGATCTGTCTGTTGACGGTCTGACCCATCATTTTAAGGATGGTAGCCACGATTTCTGTGGAGATTGCACCACGCTTCTCCTGGTCGAAGCTGTCGAATGCTCGCTTCAGCACTGATGATGCAATCAATATTAGTTTTATTGATAATAACAAACATACAGCTGGGAAGGAAATCGTTCTCTTATAATATTGATAAAATTAAAAAAACTATCCATTTTAAATTTTTGGATTTTTAGAAGTATTAATATAGATAATAATATATTATACATTAATTTCATCGTTTTATGTATATTATATTTATATGATATAATAATAATAAATATCAGAAATATTAAACAAATAATTATAGCACGTCTCGTTACGTTAATCCAATAAATATTTAAAATCTCAAATGGCGTGGAATAAATTGTAATAAAATGTATTAGCTTAAAACACGGAAAATTTTCTTCTGTTGAACAACACTTCGAAAAATTTTAGAAGCTTGTTCTTATATTGTCGGACCTTTTCATAGAATGAATATTAAAAAATAACAAAAACTATATTATTAAAAAGATCTATAGTAAAATTACGTCTACGATTCCATTGAAACCTTACCGAGCATCTGCTCTGGGTCCACCTCCGGAAGCTCCCCGTCATCCTGTCAACGAAAATGCGATCACTGTTAACTGTGAAAATTAGAAATTCCAAATTATTAAGTATCTTAAAATACAAATTACGATTAGAAAATATTTATTTTGAGTTTTAGTACTAATGGCCGCGGTCACTTTTCGTGCAAAAATTGTAAATGCTAAATTTTAGGCTATAAACGGATTAAATGTTGGACCTAAAGCTATGAAGTTCAGAAATTGAGTATGTCCGCGAGGAATGTTGTTTATTTTCGCTTGACTTGGAGCATGTTGATGTGAAGCTGATATTGACGTGCGGCCGAGGGGCGGCGGGACGATGTTTGCAGACGAGCTGCTGGCCCTCGACACTTCAAACGAGACGAGGGCTGCGGTGCTCACGAGACGAGGGCTGCGGCGCTCGCGAGACGAGGGCTGCGGCGCTCGCGAGACGAGGGCTGCGGCGCTCACGAGACGAGGGCTGCGGCGCTCGCGAGACGAGGGCTGCGGCGCTCACGAGACGAGAGCTGAGAGCTGTGACGCTCAAGAGACGGGCTGTGCTGGGGTTGCTTTGTGCTATCTCTGTTATCGTTTATGTCGGTAAAACCGTTGATGTTGATATTTGTGCTATCTTTATTTTTCCACAAACTTCAGGAGTATGAAATTTCTTAATAATCTAAATTATGTCATTTCACCACAAACGTCTATAGTAAAGTCTATGATTCGGTCGCTTCTTTTATTTTACTGTCTTTCGAGCATGTATCGTAGTTTGTCATTAATTACGGTATAATGCCGTAAACGATATTGGATGGAGACTTTCTGTCGTATTCAGTACGCATTCATTGCGTTGTAACTGCCTCTGCTGCCTCGCAATTCTCTGCACCGATAGTTCTGCCCCTGCATTCTACGAGGCAATTTACATTTGGATTCACACGACAAGGCGTCACGAGCACCGTTCGCCTGACAGTAACGCTTCACATTTCGTTCGCTTTGCACTGATCTTAATCTCCTGAATGTGTAGTTGAGGTGCCGACACGTATACGTGTTGCTTTGCTGCCTAACGTTATGGTCACCGCGCTGCAGTTTATGGTATTGTGATCGCTAACTCTTGGTGACTGCTGACTTCCTTGACGACTTGTGGTGGTGGTTAGTGGTTCCTGCTGCTTAGTCTTTACAACTTGTGATGGTCGTTAGTGGTTCCTGCTGCTTAGTCTTGACGACTTGTGGTGGTCGTTAGTGGTTCCTGCTGCTTAATCTTTACTACTTGTGATGGTCGTTAGTGGTTCCTGCTGCTTAGTCTTGACGACTTGTGGTGGTCGTTAGTGGTCCCTGCTATCGCTATGAGACTTGTATTAGGCGTTAATGTTTTCTACCTGTTCTTAACGACTTGTGATGGCCGTTTGTGGAATGTAGTGCTCATCAATGGCGACTTACGACTGTCATAGTGCTTCCTATTTTTAGCGATTGGTTGACAATTTTTTTCTATTATTTTTTTTTGCAATAAGAAGATGCTTCTGTGAAGTATTGGAAAATTACTAGCGAAGAAAATCTTGACGAAATCATCGATGTAATACGTAATGCACTAAGGATAATTTAATAACTCATCTACATTAACAACTTGAGCTTGTATACTTTTTCCACTATTTTCAGACATTGTGAATGAAGTCGTGCAATAATAACCCGTTTAAATGTGCCCGAAAATTACGAAGACTCAACAGCAGGCATTCGCAGATGCAGCTTCTGGGGCAGCGCCATGAAACGTTTTAGAGGGTTATTTCCTTAAACCAAAACATCAACATATATGACATGTGCGAAAAGCCTAGCCCGATGCATTGATGTTGTTGTGGAGAGGACTTGCTGCATTTTTATAGAACTTTTAAGCCGCAGTAACTGTGATATTTATGGTGTTTTTGAATGGTTGTTGCTGCATCGCTCATGTTCTCTCCCCCGCGTATGAACCTGAACCTCTAATGCAATGCACGTCTTGCATGGTGGAAGAAAATAATTACATTCCTTCCGAGTATATTTCAACTGACTACGAAAAAATCAAGTAACAGTTTCGTCTTCAGGTCTAATTCAAGTGTTTTAGCCTTGAAAACTAATTTAATTCCATGAATCCCAAAATTGTCCTAACCGCCAACAATCAATTGAAGAGTTTAAATTTCGGGCCTTGAAAATGCTTGAACAGCTAATAAATACATGAACAGTTAACTTTTGAGTCGAAATTTGTGCTCGTCTACTGCAATATTTAATTTACAGTTAAAATGGACATTCAACGGAGCACAATTTTTCAAGGTTCCGGCGGCCAATTCATTTTTATAAAAATCAAATATATTATAATTTTGTTGAGATATTCAATGCAAAAGAGTTCATTCGTTTCATTTGCACTAACAATGTTGCAAAAGTTTCCTTTTTATTAACTTTCAATAGTAATCAGCATCGTGCAGGCTCTAAAGCCGCATTATCAAACTCGCCCTAAGTACATATAGCGGCAGATTTTTTGTTAGTGGTTAGTGGATATAGCTTGATGAAAAGCCGTCATTAATTGCCTAACGGAGTTACAAACTACTTTTGGCATTACAGAATTTTGGCTTGCAGTTTAGCATCTAATTTTTTTAAACCGATGGTGGCGTATAGCAGGTTGGCATTCCGCTGCTCTTTTAATTAGACCGGCGGCACGTGAGTACCCCGACAGGCACGTGAACTAACCCATATTATTATCCATCGATGTTACCAGTATTTCAGAAGGAAAACATTTGTCTCGTGATTATTTGTTTTCTGCATTTATTGCTTAGATTGCAGCTATACATGCTTCGCGCAGTGACCGGAACTCATGATATCAATTTCTATGAAATTGTAGTCAAAACATGCAGTGCTTAGAGGTAGATTTTGTTAGATGATATGCAGGAAATTAACTCGGGTCCTAAAAGGAGGTTGAAATGGGGGAAAAGATTATCAATTTTGTTGAATCAAGGCTCATGGTTGTTTCATCATAGTTGCTACACATGATGAAAGATTAGTCGAATGCTGTTATTTGTACCATTGCGATGGTTCTTAACGTTAAATTTATAAATATTTTGTTAATTAACTATTCGTTGATATTGTCTTGTGTGAGTCTTCACACTCACTTTTCTGTACAAAAATCCGGATGCTACAAATCGAAAAATCTTACTTACTTCATGTGCATAATTATAACACTGGTAGTTGGAGAAATGCCTCTAAAATCAATGGTTAAAAAATATTTATTGAAGTTATGGACACATCATAATTTATAAGATTGTAGCTTTACCTCACCGCACTGCCATCAAATACTGATAAACTCGACGTCGCTCATTTGGAGGCGCAAGAAGCGCCAGGCTTGTCGACACTGCCACATTTCTGCCACGCGTCTCGCCCGTTTCGGCGAGTTGTTTTTGCGGGCTTCAGGCAAAACATTATCTGCCTAACGACAGCTGGGCGGTGGTGGCTAAAGCAAAATAAACCACGGCGTGTTTGTATAGTCAGAGGCTCGTAACTTACGACCTCGGCCTTCTGCCGCTCGCTCCTGTTACGATGTGCATGTTTGCTTGCATGTCTCGTTCTGTGTGACTATTTGCCCCACGTTTATTCCCATCTGAATTACCTTTCGAATTTGATCGAAAATGGACACTGGCTAGACGAAAGGAAAATCGTGTGATGCATCGTATCAAGAAATAAATTTATAGTTTAATTCTGATTCAGTTCAATTATCTTCTTTACCAGCAATTCTGCTTGCGTTGAGCCGTTCTTTTCGCACTTTTATGGGATTGTACTGAGTAATCGTAAAAATATCATCTAGACCTGAAACCTTTTTCCTTCAGATAAACTCGGAAATAAGTCTAGTAATACGTTTGCGAGCGGATCTTTGCATGGTTTTCTGCAACAGATATTTTATTCATACTACCCTACTGAAAATGTTCGCCAAAGTCCAAACCATTGTTTGTGAAACAGTGTCATTTTTCACTAAAAATCTCACAAATTAGAACCGTTTCTGTGTAGGGATGTGGGGTACAAACAAAAAATAATCAAACAGTTTGCTCCAAAATCTCAAGATTGTGCATCATAATCACAATTCATACTTGTTGCTCTTGCCATGAATACCTTGGCGCTATTGTACTTTTAAAAGTTGAATAATAGTTTCCTGAATACCAAAGTTTATATGGTTACCTGTCTTTAAGGCCACTTTGTTTGTTGTGGAACGCTGTTGTAATATGTATACGGGGCCTCGATGGTTACCGCGCTTTCCGACTAGATTTCAAGCAAAAAATTTGTTGTTCAAATAAGGTTTGTACACAAAAGGTTCGGTGTCGGCCTGCAGGCAACAGTGTATCAGGTTTGCGTGGGCTGTGCCTGGGCATTGGCTCGAGTCACGTAGTTCTTTCTTGTCCTAATTTGTTATTCACATTATTACTCTTGATATATAATGTGTCGGGAATGAATGTCCACTGCCTGTTGCTTCGAATATCTTGAAAACTTTACGTTTCGTTTGCAATACTTGTTATTATTCGAATGTTTGCAGGAAAGTTATTGTAGAAGATTCGTAAAATACCTATGCTAACTGGACAATTACAGAAAATTATTTAGAAGTACGATTTAATGTCGTTATAAATTTATTCACAAAAGAATTTCGGTAATCTTAAATAATGGTGTCGTGTCCACTTATTGCAGGATGGTTTACCCCGAACTTAAGTGTTTTGCAGCATGCGATTCTGATGCAATTAATTAAGGACATGAAAGGGTTTCTATTACGAGGACATGAAGAATTCCAACTGACAATAACGCAATAATAAAATCTTTATCGAGTTTGATTGTTTCGACCCTTAATCCAAAAACGGATAGCTTTACATTTTTTCCTGAGATGATGGCATTCAAACTCTCGTACGTCAAAACTATGAAGCTTAAAGTTCTAGTTCTAGAGGTGATGGCACGCAAACTCTCGTCCGTCAAAACTATGAAGCTTAAAGTTCTAGTTCTAGTTCTAGAGGTGATGGCACACAAGCTCTCGCCGTCAAAACTA